ACCCAGTTCTCTCCTCCCATCCAGCAGCACTGTGGTAATGTGCACCAGATGCACAGGCAGCGAGTCCTTGGTATTCAAACCACATCTTTGGCAAAGAGACTCGTTTTCTGTCTTGTGTGCTGGATCTCCAGTTTTCATCTTTTCCTTTTTATCCTGCTGTGGCACTGTTCTCTGCTCTGTAACTCAGCTATCTGACCACTTGTTCTGCCATGTGGTCAGACACTCAGCAACTGCAATTGACTGTTTTGGCAAGCTCGAAAACATTCCTTCTCTTCAAATGAATATTGTTGATCGTACATTAGCCAGACCATAGTGACCACACTTCAGTAACAAGGTCTTCCTTCTTTTTGGACACATGGGAATACTGCCACTGTGTTGATACTTGTACCTTCTGAGTGCATTAAGAACAGCACACGGGCTATAGGAGCAAGAGTCAGTGCATTTCTGAAAGTTCTGAAAGCTGTAACCATGTAGCTCTGTGATACAGCAGTACCATTGCCAACAACAGGCCATAAGCTTTGCACTGCATTTGCAAGGCTTTAGGCCTGAGGCTTGTCAGCTGTGCTCTGTCTGAAAATATCTTTGTTTTACTTGGTGTAGCTGTGTTTGCAATTACTCTAACTGACTTGTGTACATCTAATTTACTTTGCTTTTGTTTATCTTTGTACAACCATAGTTTTATATAAAGAGTAAAAAGCAGTCTGTGAATGAGTACTTATGACTAACATAATGTAGGATAAAGAGATATCAGCCTGGTCCTATAGTAGAGGCTTTAAGAAGTGGAGACACAGAATGTGGTATGTAGGGGTACGGGTAAGGGAGGATAGAGATGAGACACAGACTTAGCAGCAGTGACTATAAACAACTGAACCATGATCAATAACAAAATGCAGACAAAGCTGGGTTTAGAGGTAGCTAGGAGAACAAAGGAGCAGTATCCAGTACATGTAAAATGCACCATACATTATAAATCCAGGTATATCATGGAGCTGCAGACCAATGAAGTAATGGCAAAGGTGTAAAGTGTATCAGTAAATGTATAAAAATGACACAAGAGAGAAGGAACCTTTTTATTTCTGCAACAGACTAGTGATGTTTCTTGAATTAGACTACTAAGATTTCAACTAGATTAACTTCAAAAATCATGGATATATATTTTAGACATATACACACATATATATATATAAATGTGTGCTTCCTCTTTGTCTGTAATCAAGATTTTGAATGTGGCAGACTACTGATGCCATCGTTCATGGCTAAGTCTCACTGTTATGGCTAAATGCTATCCATGTTTGCTTACATTGCACCAATGGAGATGGAGGCAGATAAAAGACAGAAGCTCTAGTAAGTCTAAATTTTAAGCAAAACAGAAGAACTCTAGTTACAGCTTAATTCAGGGAACACGTCCTGACTGGCAGAAATGATAAACGTAGGTCAAAATATGACAATGAACAATCAGTTCAAATATGGAAAGAAAACCTAAATAGATGTAATTTTTTAGTTTGGTAGGAAATTTGAGGACTTAAAATGTCAAATAATTTACAATTACTAGTTTTCTTATCACAATTATCATCACCTCCTGTTGAGCAGAGTTGAACAGAGAGCTTTGACATGATTTAGCTTCCTGCAGGTCAAGAAACAAAATGAATTAGAGGACTTTTCTTTCAAATTGCTGTTGTCCAACAAGGCAACTTGAACAATTAAACTTTCTGTTGAGAAGTTTTTAAATTCAAATGCATGGTGAATTCATACAGTCAAACCCAAACATTCTGAAGCAGTTTCCTATTTTCACATCTGAAATGCAATCAGAACTGCCAGTTCTCCCTAAAAGCAGGACAGAATTCATACATGCTAAAACTGTGTATATTATTCAGTTTGGGAAGTCAATGCTTGATGCTTTTTTTTCAGGTTTAGCAAGGAATTTTGTTGGCCTTTCTTCTTTAACTAATGTAATTATGTAAGTTCATGAATTAATTGTCAAGTTTCTTGATATGAAATAACAATAATCAGCCAATAAGACTACTATAGTTATAATGACTAAAATTAATATTCATTAAATACATTATTCTGTGACTTTAAATAGGAATTCCCTTATGGAATAAAACTAATAATTTGATCCAATGTCAACACTGGATTATTTGGGGATATGACAGGAGACTGGGAAATGATTCAGACAGAGCAAAACATATGTAAATCAGGCTACAGAATACACACAGGGTGTATTCTCCTGAGAAAGTACTTGCAATTGCAAATAATCAAAAGTTAGCTGCAGTTCAGTACAGTGTTTCAACATTGTTAGTACCATACTTTGCAGAGTCCTTTTTAATTAGCTATATAATAAGTACAGCTATGCCCATTTCTCTGATTTTTGCACAGGTTACATTAAAGAATACAAGCATACAAGAAAAAAAGATACACACCTTAAAAGATATGATTTATGCACTGGACCAGAATTCAGGAGTTGTAGGTCTCATTCTCCAGTTTGCTGAGGATTTGCTGAATGATATTGGGCAACTTATTTGTTTCTGTGTTTGCCTAAATATTGTTTCTCTATAGTGTCTATACAGAATTTAGCCATACAGACATTATACATGACAGAACTAGCTCATGTTCCTTTTCATACCATGCAAAACACTATGGATGCAGATCTTAGTGAAGAACAGATATGTACTATGCTATAAACTGCTTAACAACTTAGATAATGAATTCTCTGAGGCAGTTAATTGCCTTACATCGAAAGTTTGTCATCTCTTTCCTACAACAGTCAACATGTCAGTTCCATTGCAGCCAGAGAAAGGAAAAAAACCTAAAAACATACTAGTGAACCCCAGGAAAGAAACAGAAATTATCTCTAATTTTCTGCTTTGATTTGCCTTGGTGGTGTACATGCCACCACCCACACCTCAGCTTGTAGTTACTGGAGAAAAGTATGCCCTCCTGTGCCAGTCACTAGCTAGTATTCCACTTTTCACAGTTCTTCAAGCACAAAATCTGCTTTAAAGTTAACAGCACTAAAAATACATCAAGAGAAACACAATGGGAATAATTAATTATACTTTATTTCTCAACAACAATAATGCTATCAAATACGAATGAACATTAAACAGATACAGACAAAAAATAAACAATGATACTTCAAAACACACTTGAAATAAGGTCCAAATTATTTCTAAGGCATCTAATACACTCTGACAATTTAGAATTATAAGATATTTCTGCAAAAAGATATTAAAATAGTTTACGTGTAGGTTGTTTTTTCATTACTTTAATGGAAAATTATTATGAGAATTCATATGCAATTTGAGTAGAACAAACATGTCAAGCTTTAATTTAAATAAAGTCTTTTTGAATAAAATATCAGTGTAATCAGTTCCATTGGCAGCCATATACAGCATGGAATTACTTTATAATTCAACAGATTTAACCATACTGCATTCCCTTTCTCCTTTCTAACAAAGCAGATGTCTCTGAACTAGTATAGGAATTGATTTTTAGCGGTAACACTGCAGGAAATGCATCATCTATGGTGATTCATGGTGGAAACCATAGCTACCTGCAGGTGGTACCTTAGAATCATGTGTCTTGACCCTTAACAGACCTTTGCTATCACTACTGTACCATTGTATAGAAGCAGAGACAGCACCTGATGACTTTTTAAATTACACATATGTGAAAAGAGGATATATTTTTGATTTTTAGTTTTTTACACTGCCCACTGGGCCTTTTTTCACTGCTTCACAATTCAGGATGTTGAAGTCACACCTGAAATCTTGAAATAATACAACTGAATTGTTAGGAAATGAATTCAGTTACTTATAGCTACTTATAGTGACAAACCAACCACTGGAAAAACAAAACAAAACAAAACAAACCTTTGCCATAGGTATGCCAGAGCACACAACATACATCTGTATCAACTTACTTATGAGTAATCATGGATGAACATAATGTTAATCATTTTCTGCATAGGAGAGCTATATCACCAAGTGCATTCTGGTTGTTTTCAACAGTTACGACTGCCAAAGTATCGACTGTAGAGAAAATCCTTTATACTTAATCAGTATTCCTTACTAAACTGTAGGCAAAAAAAATAGCTTCTCTGGTACTGCAGTGAGACATCTTTATCAATATTTGATAAATTACGAAATTCTGGAAGTGCTTTTAAGCACTACAGCTTTGACTAGCAGCAAAGCATGTATTTTATTTATTTAGTCTGTTAAATACTAAATGAATGTGTATATATAGATGTATATAAATGTACATGACACATTTTATATACACCAATCTACACAATATATGCCTAAAGATAGACATATAATACAGGCATTTTGAAATAGCAGTAAAATTAGCTGGTTTTAAAATAACAAGAATTTTAGAAGCTATGCTGGATATAAATAATGACTATTAACATGGAGCACCAGCATTAGAATTTGTTACTATCCAAATAGAGAGAAATTCCTTCTAAATATTAAAATTGTGATGTTGTTTTTTAATCCTGGTACAGTGAACCTGCATACATTTTCTTTCTGGCCATATTACAAAGCTCTTTTTCTTCCCACAGAAGACATACATGGATATAAATAAGGTTACAGGCTTTCAACTATCATTCCAGAAAACCTGACTATGCAACAATTATTTTAAAATATTAACAAAAATAGAAGATATGTACTGTTGGGAACTGAGTTTTTCTCTTATAGGATAAACCTTCCCAATATTCCCTGTAAAGTGTTTATATTGTAAACAGATCAAAAGTTAAGAATATCATCCTGAAATATCACTCAAGGTCCCTTGAAGCTGTCCAACATTGGCATTCCATCTGGATGCTATTTAATGAGCCAAAATTGTCCCTTTGGTAATCAGATAGCCCCAGGTGAAGTACAGGCAGGTTGATTTCATTAGGAACGGTTCTGAACCTTCTGTTCAGAATTACAAGTTTTCTTCTTTTGCTTGATAGTTCTTTGTTCCCCTTGAACAGTAGAGATACCTGCAAGGGGGAGGGTGTAGGGATGGAAGGGTGGAGACGGGGAGATGGGAAGAAATCCACAGTTAGTATGTGTTGGAAGTAAGAATTCCCCGTTATTCACAGTCACCAGGTATGGAATCAATCTTTGTGCTATCAGCAGAAAGCTGGCATACAAGGATGATGTAGAAACCAAGGAAATTCAGAAGTCTATCAAAAGAAATGTTTTACATCAGGGTTTACAACAGAGTTTGATGCAGAAATCTCTGGGTGAAATTCTATCATTCATGATACACACAGGGAATTAATTTGTCTAATGATCCTCTCGAACAAGATTTATGGACTAATCTGCATTGCGCACAAATAGAATTAGAGCAGCAAAGATCTCCCACAGCTGGTCAATGAGCCCTGAACGCAACATAATGTATTTGTGGGTCAGCTTTAACTTATGTAGCTGATGTATATCCAGAGATATCAGCACTATGAAGAACTACTTCTGTCTTTAACATCACTTCTTTCTCCCTTTCTAATTCCTTTCTAGCCTGCAAGAAAAGTGGCACAGAAAGTGATGGAGATGCTTCTGTCAGCTTGTGAACATTTTCTCATAATCAAGTCATTGTTACGATTATTCTATGAAAATATGATGTAAAGACTTTTTTTCATAATCATTGCTATGAGAAAGTAAAACAGGTGTTTATTTTTTGTCTCAAAACTCCACAGTCTCCATTCCAAGAGTCAGACTTTTCCAAAATTTTCCCTGGCTACATGTATATGATATGTATAAGCCAGATATCCAAAGCCCTTTCAAACATTCCTTTATACACATAGTCCCTCAGGAAGCACAGTGTTATTTTGATTACTGAAGTACTGACAGACATTAAAGTACTCCAGTAATAAGGAAAGGAAAAATATGAAAAGTAATTTGTAGTTTTGCATACACACTTCAACACATGTGGAACCAATCAACCAAAATAGTCTGAAGGCTGACAGCAAACTATCATTCAGCCCCATATATGTTGACAACATAATCCTTAATGGGGCACTGTACCTGTGCAAAAAATTGAATCATAGAATGGTTTAGGTTGGAAAGGACCTTTCATCATGTAGTCCAATCCTCCCGCTACAGGCAAGGACACTTTCCACTGGACCAGGTTGCTCAAAGCCCCATCCAGCCTGACCTTAAACACTGCCAGGAAAGGGCATCTACAGCTTCTCAGGAAAACCTGTTCCAGTATTTTACCACTCTCATAGTAAAAAGCTCATTCCTTATGTCCAAACGAAATTTAACCACTTTATGTTTAAAACCATTGCCCCTTGTGCTGTCACTTGTGCTGTACCCTGGCAAAAAATATCTCTTCCATCTTTCTTATAAACCCCCTTTAAGTACTAAAAGGCTGCAATAAGATCTCCCTTGAGCCTTCTGTTCTCCCGGTTGAACAAGTCCAACTCTCTCAGCCTTTCTTCCTAGCAGACATGATCCAGCCCTCTGATCATCTTCTGTGGCCTTCCTTTGGACTCATTCTAATTGGTTCACATCTTTCTTGTAGTTTCTGGAATCCAGATCTGGATGCAGTACTCCAGGTGAGATCTCATGCAAGCAGAATAGAGTGGGAGAATCACCTCCTTTGAACTGCTGGTCACACTTCTTTTGATGCAGCCCAGGCTACAAGTGCTGGCCTCTACATTGCTTGCTCATGTCTGATTTTTCACTCACCAGTATCACCTAGTCTTTTTTGGAAGTGCTGCTCTCAATCCCTTTATCCCTCAGGGTGTATGTGAAATAGACTGACTGCAGGGGGGGACTGCACTGACGCAGATGCAGGACCTTACATTTGGCCTGTTGAACTTCATGATATTCAACAGAGTACACAACATACAGTCCTCAAGCCTGTCAATGTCTCTCTGCATAGAAATCCTTTGTATGGCCCCAGTTTGTGAACACTGAGGTGAATCTTGTCTTCAATTTCTTCAAAAACTGTCAAATTGTCTTTCACTTAGCCTAAGCGTTCCCAAAATTCCTTTTAACAGCATCTTGCTGTGACACAGAAAGCTATTATGCTCTTCTCAGTTAAACTGCCTTAGCTGGACCAAACCATTGAAGACTCAAACAAAATAAAGAAAAATTCCTCTTTACTTCAACTCAAAGTGTTTAGTTTACAGCAGCTGTATAAGATACTGGTCTGACAGCACAAGAATGATTCCAGACTGCAGTGAGCTTTCTGAACCACTGTGAGTAGGAATGTTCCTTCTTATTTGGTATTATTTGACAGACTTAATCTATGCTCTATACAAGAACTCTGTCAAGCAGACATCTCAGACACACAGAAGTCAGTCTCAAAGTAAATCTTTACCTCACCTGGTAGGAAGACCTGCATCAGAACTGCAAGAGGAAACACATCTTATCTTAGCCAAACAAGTCTGTGATGACAGATGCTTCTACTCAAAGATGTGAAGCTCATATAAGAATGTCTGAGATCAGGGCATGTGATCTCTGCAAGGGATCAGAGCCATCTGCCTAGTGTTGAAAACAGTCACTGTCACAGTCCAAATGCTGACAGACAGCTTCATAAACATGCACTTTTTCTGCAGACAGTGTGGACTTCAGGCATTTCCACTGTCAGGACACCACTTAATTTTCTGTATTCATCACTGAACTGTGCCAATGACTCAATACCTACCAGTAAGCCAAAATTCAGGCCAGATGCTCCTTCATTGTTTCCAACGAGAGGTGAAATGCACCTTTCCATATACCTCATCGCTGAAGAGAATCTTCAGCTGAGGGGAGAGGATCTGCATCAATGACAGTCCTACAACAGATTACTTTGGTACTTGCACCAGATGGATCTCTGGATCACTTCTCTGTTCTGCACAAGGCAATGTCATGAAGTACAGCCAGGTTCTACATCTAATACCTAGCAGGCCTGATGCTAGCCAAATCTAGTCATCTTGAGGCTGACTAACTGCTAGAGGGACAAACAGTTTTGGCTATAGTTCGTATCATTCTGATTCACTGGAAAAAATGCTTAAGAAAAAACCAGAAAAGACTGACTTACTAATCAAAGTGGGAAAAGTTTTTTCATGGAATTGTAAGATCAGGAAAATGCACATCCTTTTTCTGTGTCATGAGATTACTGGCCATCCCTGAAGTGACCATAACATTCCTGCAAGTCTCTTAAAATCAGTTAGCTAATAAGTTTTTCACACCTGGCCATCTGATTTTGACATGCACAGCGGCTAATACCTTAGTATCTAAGTCATACATTTTTTCCCAGTTTTAAGTCATTATTTCCCTAGAGATCCACTGTGCCATTAACAGGAAGTCTGTTCATGTTGCTTCTCCATTTTCCCTTTTCTGTAAAAGACTTGGGAAAGGTAGGCCAATACAGCCTCTTAGTGGAAGGACAGCTAACTCAAAAGATGTAATGACTGCTGATCTGTGGTAATAGGGCAGTATTCTTACAGTGCTACACAGATCCTCAGCTGATAGCCATCAGAACTGCAGGTGGGAAGATTGAAGGCTAATGCAGCTATGGACGTTTAAGTAAAATAAAGTACTTTGGCAGACTTTTCTAGCTCCCTGGGGAGAAGTACAAGTCAACAGAATGCTGGTATGTCTTTAATAAGCATTGCTGGCCAAAACAATCTTCTTTCCTATGTGCGAGATATAAGAAGTAAGAATCAACATAGACAACTATTTGGAAGAAGAAAACAATTAACAGAAAATGCCAATTAACATTAGCAGGAAGTGGTGCCAGAATGGAATAAAAAGTAGAGGAGTGTCTTAAATTACCTAAATATCACGAAATCGAAAAAAACTACTTAAGATTCCAGGAGCACTGGAGCTTTGTACTTTCATCTACTGTTTAGTCTGGTATGCTCTACAACACTAAAAAACACTATAACTAAGCTAAATACAAATTTTAATCCATTAATCATCTAACATAATTAGAGAGGTGCATTAATGGTGAAGAATACATGGATAACATGGTAAGAATTTGTGCATAGAAAATGCTCCATTAATGCGTCCCTGTTTCCAAATGATGAGCCCACTGACCACAGACCCAATACAAATGAGGGTTGACCCAGAGTCAAAATTCAGAATTTGCTATCATTCCTGAGCTATATTGTCCTTCTTTAAATAATAGCTCAAGCTATTCTTTGAGTAGTTAAACAAATAGCTATCATTAGAGCCAGACTTGACAGTTTTCCTCTTCATGAAATAGCTCTACCTACACGAATGATTGCTTCTCTAATTCTAAAACCACAATAACAATGGAAAAGACTGCATTGAGCAAAGTTACAAAAATGTGTCAAAATGTTAATATATGCATTTGATTGTGAAGGCTGTTTCCTTCTATTTTTACTTGCATTGCAACCATTTTTTTTCTACAGAACTAATGTCGAAACAACATTTCTTTCATTTTGGATAGTTAAAATTATTCATAGTAGTTTGTATAATGCTATGTTTTGGATTAGTGATGAAAACAGTGTTGATAACACACCAGTGTTTTAGTTATTGCTTAGCACTGCTTATATAGCATCAAAGCCTTTTTTGCATTTCACACTGCCCATCAGTGAGTAGGCTTGAGGTGTACAGGAAGCTGGGAGGGGACACAGCAGGGACAGATGACTCCAACTGACTAAAGGCATATTCCATACTGTAGGACAGCAGTAAAAGCTGGGGGAAGAAGGAAGGGAGGCAAGGGAGATATTTGGAATAATGGCATTTATCTTCCAAAGTAACAAGTGTGATGGAGCCCTGCTTTCCTGGAACTGGCTAAGCATTTACTTGCTAATGGGAAGTAGCAAATGAATTCCTTGCTTTGCTCTGCTTGCGTGTGCAGCTTTTGCTTTACTTATAAAACTGTCTTCATCTCAAGCCACTTTTTACCCTTCTGATTCTCTCCCCCATCCCACTGCAGGGGAGTGAACAAGTGGCCATGTTGTCCTGAGCTGCCTACTGAATTTAAACCATGACAGAGCTACAGCACTCAGCTGAACATAACTCCTGTCTCTGACCATTGCTATTTTTGTTTATTTAGAACTAATGTTTTTGATGCACCCAAGTTTCTACTTGGATCAAGTCTCTTAATACAATTTCTTAAAAATAGATTTCTGCATCAATTTTGATATTACATGTCTACTTCAATATAAAACCCTGATGAACGTTTGAAACCAGTATCCATTGTCCTATATACAAATAGGCTCAAAATCAAGGATCTTGCCTTTCATGCAGTGTAATATTAAACCAGAAGGAGAAAAAAAAAGAAAGAGTGGCATAATGGATGTGAACAGAATAATTCTGAAACATTACAGAGGTATTTTTATGCATGTTTACCAAATTTCTGTGTAAATAAGTAATACAATTGGAATGCTGAATAATTTTAGGAGATTAGTGATAAACGGGCATAAGTTGCTTATTCAAGATAAAGCTGAGGGTCATTATCCTCAGCTGGTCATTAATGCCCATGAAATTACTGGACTTGAGGTATTAATTACTATTATAATGAAGATGGGGAAGAAAAAAAGCAGCATGACATTTTTCTTATGAAGCTGTCTCAGTTTCTAAAGAATTCATGTTTCAGCACCCAAACAAGTTGCTTGAATCATTTTTAACCCTTTCTACAGTTTATTCATCCTACGACAATTTTCATGTCATCACCTCACTTAAGGTTTGGTTTCCCATCTTGTATTCCTTGCACAGCAAGGGCAACAGCAATGGAAAGGAAAGAAAATGCACACAAATTCCCCAAAATGGAAAATGAACAAAAAATGTTTTCAGAATGTTTTCTCTATGAAGTGTGCTACACAAAGAGGTAGTAGACTGCATTATTATGTTATACATTATCTAGCTGTTCATGCTGCATTTAACAGTGCTTTTAGCAATAGTATACATCCCATGTCATTGCTTAGCAGCTATGTAATTCTTTCTTCAAAACAGATTCATCCTTTAGCCTTACAACATACGGAACTATACTCTTACGTCAACTTAATCAGACATTATAAAGAATGCTGTACTAAAATGAAGAAACACCTTTAAAAACTTGCATTTTCACAAATTAAGTTTGCGCATTCTCAGGACTTTTGAGCCTTTGAAGACTCAGTTTGCTTTTTTTTTTTTTTTTTGTAGTTCTATTAGAAGAGCTAGAAACTTATTATGCACAGACAGGAAGGCAACTTGTTTCCTGCTAGAAACACCATCATCCTGATTCCACTGTGAAAGACTCACACATGCCTCATCATTACAACTTCCTATCTTTGAAACTGAAAAAACTCAACCTAAACTAAAAGCTTTTTAAAATAAGAAAGTTTAAAAATAGGTGTATTGCCCTATATGTTGCTAAAGCAAACAACATACAGCTATCCACTGCTCCTAGTACTTTTTTCTAAAGCTTTTCTCTGAACACGTTTATAAGGGGATGCCAGGAAAACTACAGGATGCAGAGTTTCTGCTGGAAAATTTGCAGTTGCTTCTGAAATGCTTCACTGTGTACAAAGGAGAGGAAGTAGAGCAAGGCTCAAAACAGTTTAGGCAAGAATGAATGACAGAATATTGCTCTGAGGGCTGCAAACCAAATTCTGTTTGGTGGAATAAAACCAGAAAATGGTGGACACTGATAAGTGACTTGCAGTGCAGCTTGAGTGTGATTTGCCCTTCTAGCTTGCTTAATCTGTTTGGATAGTTTGAGGCAAAACCTAATGAAGCATGTCTGCCAGCCAAACGAATCATTCAGTACTGGACAGCTGTCAAAACTGGACTGTTTAGCTATTTGGAGAGAGTGAGAAGCAAAAAAAAAAAAAGGAGTAAAATTACTTAAGTTCTAAAAGCTCTGAATGGCCTTCAGCAAAGCATATCATAGCAAAAATGGCAAGTCCTCTGGAAATAGGCAAGTTTTTGACAGCCAAGGCCGAAGCATGATCTGTCAATTTTCTGGAAGAAAAGGGAAAATAGTAAGTTATTTGGGAGTAGGTCCTTGTCTAGAATAGAAGCAATGTAATAGTGACAGAGGAACCACAGATAGTCATGCATCATGGCAGGTAATAGGATTCAAAGTATAGTGAAAAATCAAGTTGCTCGTGACAGACCAACGACTAGGTTGCTGTATGGCTGTTTCGTATCTGCCAACTAGCATGCCAGAACATGCTAGAGTAGTGACATACGTGCAGTAGAGTGGGTGAAAGTCTACAGCAACAGCTGTTATGTGCACCTATTAACAATTCTGAGCAAGAAGAAAAAGAAAAATCAGATCTAGTCAACATACTTTTTTAAGGAGATTCGTACCTATGAGATTTCACTCCATTCTTTTCAGCCACTCTAAAATAAGTTTTGCCTTTGTCGCGGTTTAAGCCCAGCCAGTAACTCAGAACCATGCAGCTGCTCGCTCACTCCCCCCGCCCACTTCTTCCTCTCCTGGCTCCCAGAGGGATAGGGGGGAGAATCGAAAGAATGTAACTCCCGCAGGTTGAGATAAAAACACTCCAGTAACTAAGGTATAACACAAACCACTGCTGCTACCACTAATAATGATAAGGGAAATAACAAGGGAAGAGAATACAACTGCTCACCACCTGCCAACTGATACCCAGCCCAAGCAGAGATCTAGCCCTTCCAGGTAACTGCCCCCAGTTTATATACTGGGCATGACATGCTGTGGTATGGAATACCTCTTTGGTCAGTTTGGGTCAGGTGTCCTGTCTCTGCTTCCTCCTGGCTTCCCCTCCTCCCTGGCAGAGCATGAGATTCAGAAAGTCCTTAGTCAGAGTAAACATGACTTAGCAACAGCTAAAAACATCGGTGTTACCAGCAGTGTTCCCAGGCTGAAAGTCAAAAACAGCACTGGAACACAGGAGAAAAATGACTGCTACTGCTGAACCCAGGACACTTTGCTACAAGGCTCATGAATAAAGCACATATCAGCACTGACTGTGGATAACAGCGCTGCTGAAGAAGTTGCATGACTCGGGAAACACAATGTGAATTTCAATGTTCCTATGCTCCTGGGAAAACCAAATATGTAGTGCATCCACCATTATGAAGAAGGATGCTAACTATCCACTGGCTTTCTCCAGAATGTATGAGTGGGAATGTACTGTTTGCTGCTTTTTTCCATTCCCTTCTACAGGACAAACATAGCATGGAGAAGAACACCTTATCACAGAAGAACACACTGTCACCCCGTGTAGCTATAAAGAGCATTCTCTTACGTCTCCTCTAAAATAATTTTTTAAAAAAGCAGGAAAATAACTTAAGGCTCTACAGAACAACTACTCTGCAGGGAATACCAGCACAGCAGAAAAATAAGTAGTCCTGAATAAATCAGTAAAAGCAGAATGCTAGTTATTTTACTGCTGTTGGTCTCATGCTTTTCTGTGGCATTCCTATGCTACATGTTAAAGCACTAGCATATTTGTCTACAAACTTTGAGCATTCTTTATATTTCAGCAATAACATTTACAGCAATAGGACAGGGGGAAATGGAATAAAGCTGAACTAGGGGAAGTTCAGATTGGACATTAGGAAAAAGTTCTGCAGACCATTTCCTGAGAGGGTGGTCAGTCACTGGAACAGGCTCTGCAGGTGAGTAGTCACGCCACCAAGCTCATCAGAGTTCAAGGAGCATCTAGATGACAGTCTTAGTCACATGGTTTAGTTTTAGGTACCTATGCGAGGAGCAGGGAGTGAGACTCAATGGTCCTTATTGGGTCGCTTCAACTTCAGGTACACTGACTCTATGATTTCCATTAATAAAAAGCTTATTTTCATAGTCGTTTGTGTAAAATACTCAAGTCCATATTCAGCATACACTTGATTCATTACAGTTAATTGCAATAAGATGCTTTTTGTTGCTTGATGTTAAAAGTGAGAGCTTTTTCCTCTTTTTCTCATAAATTGTGTGATATTTCTTCTACAGCATCAAATCTTGGGAGCTTCTGATTAGGATGAAAATTTAAAATACTTGAAAACACTTATAAAGAAATCTGTTAGACCTCAGAGCTGCAAAAGTGATTTGTAAACCTGATTCAAGTATACCCTGAGGTTTAAAGAGTGAATTATTATTTTATTGTGGGAGTGGTTAATCATGATTTTTCAATACTTACAGCTGGCAGCAAGACACTTGTAAGCTGGAATTCCAATTTTGAGAAGGAATAAAAATACTATATATAATAAATAAAAATATTCAGGCTAATAAAATAAAAATATTCAGGGCAATATTTGAAACTAATCAAGCTAGAGTCAATCCATACCGAAAAGTCTGCAAAGAGAATAAATAACTAAAAAATGCCACTAAGCCACCAGGAACTATAGATTCTTAAAACTTCTTAATATCTGTAGTGGGGGGATTGGAGGGTGGTGTATGTTTGTTTATTTGTTTTAGAAAACCTAATTGCACTCTCCCAGGCTTTAATATGTTGATTATTGCAAAGACAAGGAACAGACTTACTTAATGGAAGTAGAAATTTTTTGCTCTAAAGAATATCTGAGACAATAAATACTATCAGGTAAAAAGAATGAGAAATCCTAAACTAGTTGTGGACATATATTTCCTTGTGTTTCTCAAAGGTTTCCTGCAATAAAGATTTACCATCTTCTGGATGGTTTATGGGAAACATGAGGAAATTGCTGCCAAACTTGTGCCGCTATCATCTGAGTGAAGAAAACAGATGTGACAAAAACCCTACGCCTAGATTAGCTAATATGTCCCTAAACCTATGTATTACAATAAACCATGTATTGAAGTAAGTTTAAGGTGAAATTGCAATCATGCAAACAGGTAGATGACACATTTGGTTTTAGCACATCATAATTAACATTATATTTGTAAATTGAACAGACTCACCTGTTAGAGAAATTGTAATAACCACTTTCCTCTAGAACCTCTTCAATTAGAGTCTACAAGATAAAAGAAATTAATTTCAGTAAGTTGTCTTTATTAAAAGTAATAAATTAATACACATAGCTATATCTACAGCTTACCTGCAACTGTTCGTATGTCATCCCTTCTGCTACATCAGAAACACCAATACCTAAAAATAAAAGACAGCTAATGCTATACTGCTGAACTGGGGGCTTATGCTCCTTTATTAGTTTAGCAGTTCCACTATAATGATCATGACAAGTGAGATGCTTGATCATCAGCAGCTTATTCCACTGACCACAATGACCCCTGCATCTTGTGGCATGTTGTGAACATTTGAGGCACACAATCCTATCACATTATGAAAGAGTTCTGATTGGTGGAAAATATTTTAAATGCTTAATGGAGCAGAACACAGCAATGCAAGTTTCTTATTCTTCTACACTTACCATTTATAATGGAAAGGGCACAGATCAGCAGCAATTTGTGAAGATAAAAGTATTCTTTGCACGGTAAGAGATTCAAAAATTATAGACACTGAGAACCTGAACACACTGCATTACTGTCTCTGGAAATACAATAAAACTCGTATTTTAAGTGATAGTTAGGGACTCATTTCCTACTCAAATACCACCCTAGACACCTACTATTATTTCTGAGTTTTGTAATAAGCTGTGGAACTGATATGATAGTTTCAACACAAAGACCAGCAAAATGCAGGTTTCTCACCCTTCTTTCTTGCACCACTGTTTGTAATGTTACTACGTCCTCTAGTCTGTAGATTGTGACATAGCTCTTCCTGTGTTTATACAAATGGAAATGGCACAAATACCAAAACACTGGCTGCACATTTCCCTTATGTCCATTGTACAAAGAAGTATGTGATTAAACATAAATAGAAATATAAAAAACCTCTGAACTAAGAATTGTGATTCCCCATCATGGATGATGCCAGTGATGGTATGTTTGATTCAAGATGGAGTTCGTGATTTGTCACACTAAGCATCATTAGTCCAAAGTATATTTGATACTATTTATTTTCTAAAGTATAAATATACATACTTTCTATTACATAGATGTGGTATAGTATGCATCATTTCCCTCCTCCAGACTTCAGGGCTTGATTGCAAACATGACAGAAGGACAACACAGGTTTTAAATAGAGTTTGTTTAAGAATCATGTGCAAGGACAGGTAAATTCTGAGTATAACATTTTCACTTAGAAACATTTCTACTGATTTTCATGGATGAACCATGTGTTATTTCATCTTTGATATGTCTTTGTAATTCCAAAGTATACTCCTTCACATTGGGAGAATGTTCCATCAGTTGTAAACTACATAATTTACTAGGAATTAAACAACACAAAACCCAACCAACCAAAAACCTCCGATACTGAAAATCAGGATAGTTAACATAACTTTACTGTGTTCAAAGACAGAAAGACTTATCTTAGAGTAGCAATTCCTTCTGCTTTGATACCATACACTTTATTAGACATATATAAGCCACTATAGAGGTTTTGATGCTTTCCTTACCTTTTCTGTCATCTGGAAGCCATGCATTTCCACCTGAAGAGGGAAGCACCATGCGCCAATCTGCTGTGAAGAAGTTAGGCTCAATCAGTTCAGGAGAACCTTGTAGCAGCTGGTGAAAGGTTAAAAAAAAAAATAATAAATAATAATAATAAAAAAGAAATCTCCACCCTTCCTGTTTGCCAAAATATTCAGACTTTAATGAGGCAGTCCAGCCTTTACAATGCATTCAGAAGTCAAATGAGATTTCAGTACTTTCTGATTAATGAAACAGTGGTGAACACAATTAAGATGTCCTACCTTCTCCCCAGAAATACTGGCTTAATATTGCAAGCTGTCAATCTGCACCTAATGTAAAGCACTGAGTTCTTTATCTGAATAAAATGCCATAAACTATGTATTTGCATAAAGACAAACAAGTAAGGGTATTCCATTGAACTTAGGAGAGAAACAGCTGATGTCTCCAGCTTTCAAAACTGGGGCTTCAAGTGAAATTGAACATAGTACATATTCACATGGTATCATGCCCATTAGAGGGATCCCACACTTTTGAAACCCAAAAGTCAGTTAAGCTACTGGATTATGCAAACAAGAAATCTGACATTAAACTTAAAAACATCTAGTTTTGAAAATATCCACTGGTAACAACTCTGACATGAAAATATCTTTGTGGGCAGGAGAGAAATTCTAGTTTTGCATTCCTGCAGCATGTTAACACTTTTACAGTTACAGAAACAGAAGAGTATCTGTTGTTGGAAGACCTTTACCCCACCATCAGTCAGTGGAGGAATCTTTTTGTCTGTAATTCTAGTTAAGTTTTCTAATTCAGCAAAGTTAAAAACCCATTACTTTAAAATTTTATTTGCAGAAATTACACAACCTCATAACAACACCTCCCGGAATAGTTCTACCTAATTCTTTTCTCTATTTAGATTCTTCCTATTATCTTCCAGTGATATCACTGTTACCAAACATATTTATGGTGGTGATTTTGGTAAAATATATACCACTTATTCACTGATGCTTCTCAATTCTCCATCTTTCTAACTGCACTTTTTGTTGCTGCTTTCTATTAATAGTTTCTATAACTATTTCCTTCAAGGCAAAAATGCATTCAGCATTTCAAACACCTTCAGTTTACTACCATTTACTTTTTAAACAGTCCATTTCTTCCCTTTTCTTCCGGTTTAACTGCAATAGTTTTGAAGACAATGCAATTTTACGGTTAATAACATTTATAAATAAATAGGGCATATATAAATACATTTCTGGGCATTTGAAAAATACATTAATCTTATAATAAACACTTCCTGTTTCTTACCAATTTTTTGGGCATCCTCTCCTGAAAACATCAATTTAATACACAAAGATTTTCTCAGATTTAATGTTATGGCTGAAATACAGAAACTGTTTAATGTAAATCCCAGCTTAATTTACAGGACAGCAAACTGGCATGAAACCAGTGGCTCAGAGAGAGGCATCTTTAACAATCTTTCAAATGTACTACCAATGTAAACCACCATAAGCACTAAATAGCTACTTTCCATGGAGCTTAAGCACCTCAGATTAATTATTACAAAAGTACAGGAAGGATTTAGCATTTGGGGTTAGTCTGTTGTGTAGCAAACAATGACAATTCCACAATTCAGTGTAAGTGGGTGACAATCAGATTACACAGGGGCATTATGTGAGTGATAAGAGATCATCTTTATCATCATATTTCGGATACAGTAACATATCTAATAACTGTTTTGTCATCAATTCAAAAGTGAAGTATCTTAGCTTCACAGGACATAGATGCCAAGGATGTCATTTTCATATCCTCTGCTGACTACAGTCTTCTAAGGAGATTTTGAAGGAACATTTAGAAATTCTGATATTTCTGTTAGCTCTTTCTCTGATGAAAGCATCCAGCATTTCATTGGAAAACATTCAGGCATGGTTCTTCAGTCATGCCATTCTTGCAAATCTGCACTACTTTTGAACAGATGACACTAAACTGTTGCTGACACACTATGCAACAAGAGGACAAGGTATGCTATATTCAAGACGCTCTGGGACAGTGCTTTATTAAAATTCATATTTTGAGTAGGAATACATTCCAAAACAGAAACTAATAGGAAATTAGGAAGAACTTACATAATCTCTTTTGGCCTTTGGCACAAAACCATTTTCTTTCCTCTTCTCTTTTTAAGCTCCCATGAGATGAAGTCTGGTTTTGCATATTAGCAGCTAGTAGGTCCTTTCCATTTACAAAAAATGTTCTAATGACAAGACACAAACTCTAAACCAATCTGTAGAAACTTTTTATTTAAGCTCCCATATTTTCCAAATAAAGGATATACAGGGAATATTCCAAATATTTCCTTTAAAAATGGAATCTCACACGGTGTGACATTACTATCAATAGCTTAATTCAAAGAGAAGAAAAGACAAAGTTGACCACAGGTAGTAATTGGTGTACTACACCTTTTTCATTTCTGATTTCAGATTACCAGGATTGCTCTGCTGACTGAAGAGGGACTTCTTGAATCTTTCAATGATTCTTCTTTTCCAGTTGTATTGCAAAGCTGGAGGAAGCTGTATGAAACACAGATGTTTTCACCGTTTAGTTATACCTGACATAAAGATGACATAATCAGCAGGACCATTACCAGAAAAAAAAGAGTAGCTACACCACAAAAAAAAAAAAGCCATTGATATTTAATAGCATGGTGATGAACAACAGCACAAGACTTGATTTACAGGCATATTATAATAGCACTCCTTAGTTTGCCCATTCTATTAGGTTTGGCATATCATGTAACTCAGTCCCTCTAGCCTTGGAAGTAAAAAACATTATAACAAGTCAAAGAGAGGTAATACTACATTTGTCTCCCTGAGCCATTTTCCTACAGATGAAGGTCATGAAACATTAGATCAGATTTCACGTTGACTATAATGAGTGACTCCAGCTGAAATTAATGGAACTTCAAGCAGCTCAGACTTTCATTCAACATGTGCAGAACAGCTTCAACAGGCTCTTTTAAGGTCCTTATGTATATATTAAGACAATTCAGACTCTCTTTTCCTAGAAGCTTCCTGTAGGAGGCAATTTACATTTCACTTTTTTATAAAGCAAAACTGATTTTGTATTTTTTTTCTCCTGTGGGGTTTTGTCTTTTTTTTGTTGTTGTTGAAAAAGTACACATCTTTCCATACTTTTTACAAAAGAAAAGCACAAATCTTACTTTGTATTTTAGAGTCTTCAATAGAGAATTCCAAGGAGATCTCTTCCTTTGCTCTTTTAAAACCATATTTATGCTCCAACAGTAAATGTAAAGTTTCAACTGCTGGTCACTACAGTGACATCAACTCAGTCTGATAACAATTCTATGGCATGTACTACCCTTTTGGATGGCTCTCCTATGCTGTTTATGTATAGTTACTTATAGCTGCAGACAGTGTCTGTAGAACTTTCTACCATTTAGTATACACTTTATAACCACATCATTGACGTAAATTCACAAAGTGCCACTCCACTGAATTCAGGAAGCTTTTCAATTACTAAGGAAAGGTTTGACCACTAAGGATGCACATTCAAATACTATCACAGAAGATATTATAAAGATTTTTTTCCACTGGAACAAATTACTGCTCTTAGCCAGTTATAAATCTGGAACAGCTAAATTGGCCTCACAGGAGTCTCGATTTGCTCTGACAAATGAGAGATTAAGGTTACATCGTAAGCACAAAAGATGTAACCAGACAGCTGGTTGCACACAAAGTTTTGTTACATATATACTCCTCTCTTTCCACACATATAAGGCCTTACACATATGTATTAAATCAGATGATGAATGTTCCTTAGCCTATAAATGAGTGACAAAAATGATGCCTTAGAAAGGCCTGTGAGATACTCTGTAGACTACAAGCCACTGCAATGGACTGTGTGCAATTGATGTACTGTGGGCAAACTAAGCTATACTGAAGCAAAAGTGGTAGAGCACAAGTCCAGTGCTTGAGAAACTCAGAGTTGCCTCAGGCACTAGTGATCAATTTCAGCTTTTGTTTTAATGAAATCAGATGTCAGATTAGTCAAAATAAAAATAAAAAGAAATAAATTTTTAAAAAGCCAAGGATTTACGTAATGTGTTTTTTTGCTTTTTTAAAAGCTTTCTCTTACATTGTTTTCCAGAGATCACTCTGACTCTTGTTCCCATGGAAACTGAATTGGGAAGGCTTCTGTCAGCCAAGAACTAGGTAAGAACAGGCAAGAACTCTCCCTTGTAAACTTCAGTTTAGAATTGTTGGCTGAAATACATAACAGAGCTTTAGAAAACAGCTATGTATTATAAAAAATATTCTAGTTTAGAACATAAACAAGTACAAGGGAAGCACATAGTACACAGTGAACAAGTACAGTATGGATCCTGGCTTCTCTGCCTTTCCATTCCAAAACCAGCTGCATCTGACACCAAAAGCATCAAAGCTGTTACTACTGCTTCAATGGTCAATTCTGAGTGAGTCGTCGAGTTGCTGTTCATTCTCAGTTATTCTCATCCACATTATGATAATTTGCATAAATTAGTAGGCCACTTGAGAAAATCTTCTTCAACAAAGAGGATAGGTTCACTAATGAGCATTTTGAACACACCCCTAATAGCATGTAAAGACAGAATTGTCTAAGTTCTGTTAGCAGGGGAAGGAGATAATTTCCAGCTATTTTCAATAGTGATTGTTTTCTCTATTCCCATATTACCTGTTTTGACAAGCTTGTCAGTTAAAAAAAAAAGACATGTAAACCACTCCGGAGTTCTGTTTATGATATTCTGTTCTAAACAAAAACAGATTTGGCTCAGCAGTTTGAAAACCCCTGAGGGGTCTTTCCCCTGTATGAAACATCACTTCCCAAATAGAAACACTTAATTTTGGAAAACAAAAAGATGCTTATTTAATGATAGCAAATTTTGCAAGTAATATATTCAGGATCTGAACTATTGCACTAGAAATCCCAAGAAATTACCACTGTTTATTGATAATAAAAATATGACTTAGAAGCTATTTAGAAATTATTGCTATAGAGGAAAGCATTTTATGTATTCTCCATGTCAGTATATGGTGCTAAGTCACTTAAAATATTCATATTGTTGGCATGACAGAACGTTGTAAAAATAATTTACTGTACAATCCATTTTTCTGAGGTGAGCCAATGATTTTCATATGACTCAATTATTGCCATCCTCCACATACTAATATTCAAGGTTAGTCTTTATTTAAATGATATATTTTTAAAGCATCCTGCCATCTGCAAAAATGTCAAGTTCTGTTGTTTTTACAGAATAGTGACTAAATTAGCAGCACTTAGCAGTACCATTATTTTGACAACAGCAAATAACTAAAAAGTATAGAATGTCAGAAGCAATAGTAATGCGTACTTGAGTGATGAAGATGATTTTGTGCAGCTGAATAAGAATCTGTTGAACAGGGTCACTGATCTGACGCACCTTCCTTTGCGATACAGCAATTCTTGCTGATGCTGTAGATGACAACAGTAAAAGCAAGAGGACAGCTCATTTAATTGCTTTAATATATTAATAGAGTACACTGTTCAAAACCTGTAGATGTAAATGATAAGTTTTAATGCATGACTGTTTTTTCCAATAGTGTTGGGAACAAAGAAAATAATAATCTAAAAACTTTAAAGATTAGACAGTGTAATTGATAATGTGTTTCAAAAGAAAATCCCTTTCCCTGACTCATTTCTAAGTTACTCTAAGAGAAAAGAAGTACTAGTGTACATAAAAGTTTTCATACATTTATTTAAAAACTAAAGACATGATAAACAGAATTTTCTTATTTTAACTGGGTTTTCTTTTTACACAGACTAAACCACATCATATTTATTTTTTCTATATTTTGATATTATGAAATTTATTTTAATTTTACCCCAAGAATTACAAGAAAATATCTAATGTGGACAATTTGGAGAAAAATTTAGAAAAAACGGATTTTCATGTTGCCATAGAATCATAGAATAGTTAGGGTTGGAAAGGACCTTAAGATCATCAAGTTCCAACCCCCCTGCCATGGGCAGGGACACCTCACACTAAACCATCACACCCAAGGCTTTGTACAGCCTGGTCTTGAACACCGCTAGCGATGGAGCACTCACAACCTCCCTGGGCAACCCATTCCAGTGCCTCACCACCTTAACAGGAAAGAATTTCCTCCTTATATCCAATCAAAACTTCCCCTGTTTAATTTTTAACCCATTATCCCTTGCCCTACCACTACAGTCCCTAATGAAGAGTCCCTCCCCAGCATCCCTATAGGCCCGCTTCAGATACTGGAAGGCTGCTATGAGGTATCCACGCAGCCTTCTCTTCTCCAGGCTCAACAGCCCCAACTTTCTCAGCCTATCTTCATATGGGAGGTACTCCAGTCCTCTGATCATCCTTGTGGGCCTCCTCCGGACTTGTTCCAACAGTTCCATGTCCTTTTTATGTTGAGGACACCAGAACTGCATACAATACAGTGATATATAGTGACACATGTTGCTTTATCAAACCTAGTTTTTGTTTCCAACATCTAGCAAGAGCATATTTTTGAAAGAAACCTTAAGAAAATATGCAAGAACTATGAATCTCTTGGGTCTTCTTTACACCAGAAAATCATTTGTTTCCATGTCGCAGATTACTCCATGATCAAAATGACACCATCATAAAACTTGTAATGACATTTTTCATGTTTAGAATAAAAGAATATCTTTGCTAAGCAACTTCGTAAAAATGTAAAAATTCTTCTCCCTATGAAGGAACAGAATAGACAGTTGCCCTCTATTTCAGACTGCATATTATTTTTCTTGTAAATCCCATAAAAATCACAGAATCATTGAATGGTTTGGGTTGGAAGTGACATGAAAGGTCATCCAGTTCCAACACTCTGCCATGGGCAGGGACACCTCCCACTAAACAAGGTTTCCTAACTTGGCTTCAAACGCTGCCAGGGATGGGGCAGCCACAGCTTCCCTGAGCAACCGGTGCCAGGGCCTCACCACCCTCACAGGGAAGAATATTTTCTAATATCTAATCTAATCTAAATCTACTGTCTTTCAGTTCAAAGCCACTGAGCCTTGTCCTAGCACTACTTGCTGTATAAATAGTACTGTTGACCTGTAAATATAAAGAAAAAGTGACATTTTGAAACTTTTAAATTAAAAGCTAGTTAGGTATTGATATAAAAATGCAGGATGTTAAGCACACCACAAAGGGGGGGTTGTGCAAACCAGAAAATATAAACACAGATGAAATTCCCATGTACATAAGCATGTAATTATGAGCTCTCCCCTCCGCCATATTATATGGGATATAAAGTTGGTCTGTCTGAAGAAAAAAAAAAACTAAACAAATTTAGAAATTAAATATTTTGTTATATCAAAACCCACTGTGCTTCTGAATATATCTTCACATAATTTCTATAAGCGTTAACATTTTAAGTAGACTTGTACACTAAGCAGACCAGAAAATTAACTATTAGTTGACTAATCACTAAGAAATGATCATGGAAATGCACACTAAAAAAGAATTGATGGTTTGAGAAAATAGTTTTGCTAGAAGTTGCTTCTAATATTTTCTTCTTAAACAGATACTCAAAAAGCCTTTTTTATCACATTATATTTGAATAATTCCTTTAGCTATTACCTAACAACACACATAATAGATATATATATACACAAATTCAAAGTACACACACAGGCTTTTATTTTAGCGCTTGACTATTTAATCGGGTATCCAATGTGATCTTTGCTAAAAAGCATCCATTATACTCAATGGCAATGGCACTACATTTTGTAGTACAAACTCTGAAGTAAAGAACAGAGTTAGTTTGGAATCAAAACGATAAATATTACTTTAGAATTAAGAATATGGCAGTACTTCAGACATTTAGGCTTCCTCATGTAACTTTTATTAGATAATTGTTGATAATTTATTTAGAGGTGTGAGCTATTTATTACGGCAAGGAGCAAGAATGTTGAACTAAAAATAGCGAGCAGGTGTAAACCTGTTCCTGTAAAGCTGCACTTCCGGTAAAGCTAGACTAACCTCTGCCAAGCAAATCCATGTACATAATTTATGCTTTTCATTTACAAAAGCACTGTGAAGAAGTTATGCATGAATAGAAGCTATGCTTTTCCTCTAGCAAAATAAATTTAAAACAAGAATTTTAACTTTTTCATTCACTTCTTTGTGTTAAAATCAGACTAAAAAATCTATGAATCAACTAGGTAAAAATATATGGCTCTTGGGATCAAGAATTGAAAAAGAAAAAAAGCTGAAAGTGAAAGTTTATTTCCCAAACTGAACTATTGTCTGGGACTTATTACAAACTGACATTAAATCAGATATGGTCTTGGTCATCCAGATTTTGAGACAGATATCCTTTCCTGTTGTAGGTACATTTTTTTCTTGTAGTACAAGTAGATTTGTGATTAACAGACTGTCTTCTTTTTATGCCCTATATTAGGAACTGCCCTAATATACAAGCTAATAATATCAAATTCCATGTGATTTGTTTCCAGCCATATGCAATGAGACATTTGAAAAATACTAGCCAAAGGCAGCTTGATAAAAAGCAAAATCTAATTCACTTGACAACCTGAATGAGTGAGCATTGCTTAAAACTTACAAAGCACAATAAACTCAGTACTGATTTGTGGATGTTATACCCAAAATGTTGACTATATTTTATTAAATAAAGAACATTATGAACTAACTTACTGAACTAAAAAAAAAAAAAAAAAAAAAACCCACAAAATAATTTGTGTTCCATGGAATAATTTTAATTCCAGACATGAGGACAAATAGACAAATACTGCTGATAAGGCTTTAGGTAATTTAATAGAATTATGATATAGAAGTAAACATTACATAATTTACAAACTGCATAGATTTGCAAATTATCATGCAGATTTTAAATATAACAATTAAAACAAGCAGACCAGCTTGATTATTATTTACCTAGTGTTCCTCGATCATGCTTTGCCTGCTGAGAAAGAGTGTAGAGCCAAAACTAAGTCAGATTTTTTAGTTTTTATGTGGCAAATCCATCATTATTTATGATTTTTAATCTTGTGCATTTAAGTCATAGACACTGTCAGACTCAGAGATTAAATAAAAGCTGAGCAGCAGACTGCCACTATAAAACACTTTGTGCATCAGTAAAGAACATAAGCAATTGTTTTTCCAAGTTGAGTATTAGATCTGGCAGCTAAGCAAAGAACTTAGGTCCAAGTATTGAACTTCAGCCAGCATCCCTGTATGTCTTAAATAGAGTTACCTCTAAACTACACTTCAGAGGCTAATTTATATCCATATTCTAACATTTTCTCATACAGAAATACCTTGAGGTATTATGAGTCTTATATATGTATTTACACACACATAAACTTTTTTTTTTTTTTCCTTTGCAAAGGGATCTGGTATGGAGAATGAAAATTTTACTGAGAGAGAGATGAAAGACAAATACCAAAATTAATTAGCCCACAACTGAACGATTATATTTTTTTTTTTTTCCTGTTGAATTTCTTTGCTGGCTATTTTAACAAGGAGGGACAGTAACAAACTGAAGTGTCTAAGCACCAACCAGACCTAAGCTGCGCTCTCACAGAAAATAGATACAGAACATCTCATCCTTTATCGCAGAGACAGATTTATGGTTGAATCAGGAAGATAATGACATTATTGTTATTTCTGAGTTTCCTCAGAGTTTTCCGGGAGGAAGCAGAGACAGGACACCTGACCCAAACTGGCCAAAGAGGTATTCCATACCACAGCACGTCATGCCCAGGGGGGAACTGGGAGTTACCCAGGAGGGAGAGTGGACTGCAGGGTTGGAGGACGTATCAGTCGGTGCTTGATCGGGCTGGGGGGCAAGTTACTGGTCGCCTGGAATGGGGTGTTGTATTCTCTTCCCTTGTTATTTCCTTTCTCATTACTATTATTGGTGGCAGCAGTAGTGATTTGTGTTATACCTTAGTTACTAAACTGTTCTTATCTCAACCCGTGGAAGTTGCATTCTTTCTGATTCTCCTCTCCGTCCCTCCAGGAGTAGGGGGAGGGCAAGAAGGGGAGGAGGAGTGAGTGAAAGCTGTCTGGTTGGGGTTAAAAGTGGGCGTGACGTGCTGTGATATGGAATACCTCTTTGGTGAGTTTGGGTCAGGTGTCCTCTCTCTGCTTCCTCCCGGCTTCCCCTCCTCCCTGGCAGAGCATGAGGCTCACAAAGTCCTTGGCCAAATCAAAACTTCATTTTTATCAGCTCTGTTCCCAGCCCGAAAGTCAAAACACAGCACTGCACCAGCTACCAAGAAGGAGAAAAAATGACTGCTACTGCTAAACCCAGGACAAACCCCCATTTCAAGAAGGGGAAAACGGATGACCCAGGGAATTACAGAGCAGTCAGTGTCACCTCTGTGCCTGTCAAAATCTTGGAGCAGATTCTCCTGGAAGGCATGCTAAGGGACATGAAAAACAGCAGGGTGCTTGGTGACAGCCAGCATGGCTTCACTAAGGGGAAATCCTGCCTGACCAATTTGGTGGCCTTCTATGACGGGGCTACAGAACTGATGGACAGCGGTAGAGCAGTTGGTGTCATCTATCTGGATTTGTGCAAAACGTTCGACACTGTCCCACACAACATCTTTGTCTCTAAATTGAAGAGACATCAGTTTGATAGGTAGACCACTCGGTGGATAAAGAACTGCCTGGATGGCCGCACACAAAGAGTTGTGGTCAATGGCTCAATGTCTGGCAGGAGACCAGTAACGAGTGGTGTCCCTCAGGGATCGGTGTTGGGACCAGTCTTGTTTAACGTCTTTGTCAGTGACATGGACAGTGGGATTGAGTGTGCCCCCAGCAAGTTTGCCGATGACAGCAAGCTGTGTGGTTGGGTTGATACACTGGAGGGAAGGAATGCCATCCAGAGGGACCTTGACACGCTTGTGAGGTGGGCTGATGCCAACCTCATGAAGTTTAACCATGCCAAGTGCAAGGTCCTACACCTGGGTCGGAGCAATCCCAGGCACAGCTACAGGTTGGGCAGAGAAGAGATTGAGAGCAGCTCTCCGGAGAAGGACTTGGGGGTGCTGGTCGATGAGAAAATGAACATGAGCCAACTTCAGTGTGCGTTTGCAGCCCAGAAAGCCAACTGTCTCCTGGGCTGCATCAAAAGGAGTGTGACCAGCAGGTCGAAGGAGGTGATCCTGCCCCTCTACTCTGCTCTCGTGAGACCTCACTTGGAGTATTGTATGCAGTTCTGGTGTCCTCAACATAAAAAGAACATGGAACTGTTGGAACAAGTCCAGAGGAGGGCCATGAGGATGATCAGGGGACTGGAGCACCTCCCATATGAAGATCGGCTGAGAAAGTTGGGGCTGTTCAGCCTGGAGAAGAGAAGGCTGCTTGGAGACCTCGTAGCAGCCTTCCAGTATCTGAAGGGAGCCTATAGGGATGCTGGGGAGAGACTCTTCATTAGGGACTGTAGTGACAGGACAAGGGGTAATGGCTTAAAAGTTAAATGGGAAGTTTAGATTGGATATAAAGAAGAAATTCTTTACTGTGAGAGTGGTGAGGCACTGGAATGGGTTGCCCATCTCTGGTGGTGTTCAAGGCCAGGCTGTACAAAGCCTTGGGTGATGTGGTTTAGTGTGAGGTGTCCCTGCCCATGGTGGGGGGGTTGGAACTAGGTGATCTTAAGGTCCTTTCCAATCCTAACTATTCTATGATACTATGATTCTATGATTTTGATTCAGCTTTTGCCTCATTTTCACCTCTCCACCAAGTGTTTCAACACTGCTATACTTAATCCCAAAATAAATACTATGGTCCTGCTGTTACAACCTAGGAACCTTCAGTTTTTGTTAGGACACTGATGAAAACTTTACTTCCTTGGCATATTACCTTTTTTACTGCTCCCTGTTCTGTGGTATTTGACTTCTCTTTTGCTGTCAATAGCTTGTATTACAAAACAAATGTGAATAAATTAGTGCCTTTTTCTTTCTTTTTTTTTTTCTGAATAAAAATATGTTTAGAACTATATCAGCAAACAAAAGGACAAACTAGAACATAATACGGATTTCCCTCTTATTTATTGTATAAGCTTTCTCTTTTCTAATATGATAGCAGCAATTGGACTTACCAGTCTAGGAGTTCCAGATGTAATGTCTACTTGTAGTGTCTATGTGCTTCAAAGACAGCTAGTGACCGAATGTTCAGCTAGGAACTTAGGAGTTCCAGACCACTCAATAATTATATATTTTCTTAAATACAAAAGTATAGCATTATTTGCAGAATGAGGGCATGTGTGTGAATAGGTTGGTGAGGACTTGATCAAAACTTTTAACAGTTTTACCCATTACTGACAAAAGGTACCAGATTTGATCAGATTACCCACAGCACTGAAAATATTAACAAAGGCTAAAATGTTTGTCTGCAGATCATTATAGCTCTGATATTTTAAAGCTGGATAGTGGATTTATATTGTGTGTTAGTATTATAATGGCACTCTTCAGAAAACAGCACTGAAAACAGCTGAAAGTGGACAGCAAATATTGATGTGGAGTGCATAATTAAAATTCATATAATAATTTATCAAAAGGCTATAAAATGGAAGTTAGTATAGACAAAAAGTACTTCCCTTTTGAAGATCAATACTTCAGCTGCTTGAAATATTTTTTTTTAATATTATTTAAATCCAGACAATATGCATTCTGAAATCACAGTTTAGCAACTTACAGCATGTGAAACTTCTCCATAAGAAGTACCTCAAATGGAAAATTTGTTTCATCAGTAATCATGTATAAATACATGGGGATTTCTTTGTATTATGAAATATTCCTTTCATGAGAGAAATTCCCATTGCATTCCACAGAAGTTTAGCCAGGATAATGACCAATAAAATGTGGTTTTACTGATTTACTATTGGAGTTCATACTTTTGAAAAACATCCTTAAGGATATTTCAGATAACATATTTATATATGAAATGTAATTATATCCTTTTCAAGCATTTTCAAATATAATTTTTCATATTGCAAAGAACTACAACTGGAAGACCATAGTACTGCTACCCTGTTATGAACAAATCCTCTATTTTCTTAGTATGACTCCTGCACGTGAGGAAAGGCACACTCAAGAGCAGATCAATAGGCAGTATAGTTGAAGAAATAAAAGAGGAGACACTCTATAGACAACAGGAGAATAAGGTTGAAAACATGGAAGCCGATAGGTTTAATTTAAGTTAAAGTTTGATTTTGTTGCAAGCACGAAATTACCTGGTTGCAGTCTTGATCCCAGACCTTCAGTATCATCTCTAGTATTATTCAAAAAAAATTTAAAAATAATTAAAAAAAGTAGTTTTAATTGTGTTTGGCATCAATGACTGTAGAGGAAATACCAGTAGTCCCTGACTCCTCCTCACGTTTCCTCTAAAGGAAATCTGTCCAAATTCATTAGTTTTTTACTGTGTGTTTTTAAAACTCATAAAGACTACCCTACTCTATGTGTCCAAAGTAACATGACTTCTACTAAATAAAAATTAGGCCCATTCCTTTTCCTGCTCAGTTTTTTAGCTGCAAAGTACAAAAACAGGAGACAGGATTTTAATATTTACAATTCAATAATCCTGAAAATTAACATAAAATTAATTTGCATTTGTACGTGTTTAAAGACATTTAATGTAAACTATTTTATGGCTGGGAAAAAAAAAAGTAATTATTGTCTAGTAGATAAAAACAGGAGCAATAACGCATACAGTACTAATAGAGTGTGTGGGGGAGGGAAATAATATTACGTCATCAGGACAGCAATACCTCAGTGTCTGAAATACAGGTCCACATGTTTTAATATTAGCTTCTGCTCTATACTCTACACAAACATTGTCCCAGCGTGCAGATTTCAACAGCTGAGAAGTGGATATAGACAGATAGAACTGAAAGAACCAGTATCGTGTCCTGATGGATGGCAGCCTCAATAGCTCCAGCACGTCAAGAATTTGTATGTATTTTTAGGCAGTATGGGAAACTAGTTTCAAAGAATAGTTACGAAGATAAGGAAATGGTTTTGCTGAAGTTCATGTGAGGGGCAGAGATGGAATAAAAATAGAATGTGCTTGCTTCCACTGTGAAGCATCAAGAGACCACCATTATTGACTGCAGCAGGACTAAAGCTGGAAAGCTAGTGAGTGATAAGCAACAAACTGGATGGTGCTATGCTAAATAAAACTCTGAAGGCAAAAGTAAAGTATGGCATTTGAAGTAATAGGAAAAGCACAACCAGTAAAAGGACACACACACAAGACAGTAGGGCTGAAGGCAAGGATGCAAAAATGCTCCTTGCATCAGTGTTCTCAATGGACATTTGAGTGACTAGAATGTGTGCATCAAAACCAGGAAAGATGTTTGCATTATAGCCTTATGAACCCAAGCAAGATTTTTAGCAGTGTGCATTTGTAGGAAAGGTTGTATCTTGAATGTGCCAGGCAGAAGAGTGAGATTTATTCTGAATGTGAGAACTTCAAGAGGACGGATGTTTTCAGGAATGATCAAAACCTGAGCTAATGGGTAAGAGTTCAGGTACAGGCAATTATGACATTCCTTTTAGTTATGTAATCAACTGCATGGCCACATGGCCATGAAGAGATCTTACAAAGATGAGCAAAAATTTTGTGTAGACAGAAGGAAATACATCTGGTGTATACACCTAAGCTCATTATTTGCAACATGGTTTTGCAGATAGATGACTATGGAGACACATTTGTACATGCAAAGACAACATGCACCAGAAAAGACAAAAGAATCAGTGATAGACCCACATGTAACATTCAGAGAAAATCAGATGAACAGATAAACTGGTGTCCTTCTGAATGGTCCTTAAAAATAGTTTCAAAAGACTGCGGGAGAAATGGAAAAGGTTAGACTCAGAAAAGTCAGAAAAGCATGATTTTAAGAAGATAAAAAAAGCACCAGTGCTAAACAGCAGATCAAGAAAATAAAGGAACTATAATTTGGAAGAGGTCATTAAACAGCTCAATACAGCTTAGGGAGGGTTGCTACAGTAATATTCTTTAAATGAAAGTTGGATTAGAAAGGGTTTGTGGAAAAACAGGGGAGAGGAATCAATGCTGTTATTATGAATACTTTAACCTAGTTAAGTTAAAGATAAAAAGAAAAAAATTGTTCAAGAGGAAAGAGTGACTTTGGTTTGGTTTTTTCATTTCAGAAAAACAGAAATAAAGAAACAAAGAACAGAGTCTATGAATAAAGAGTGGTGCCAAGGAGATCAGAAAAAAATGATGGTTGGTTAAGAATGCATTTGATGCATTTCTGAATAACAGATGAAAAAAGAAGGACCTCCAGAAGGAGAATGGGGATGGCCATGCCATATTCTGTTTCAGTTTCTTTCCTTTTTGAAAGAAATTAAAACCCCAGAATTCAAACAGTGGTTACCTACATTTACACAGAAGATCTAGAGGAGTTCAAAGCAACAGGATATTACTCTATGCTATCCAATGTACAAACACATTTTTCTATAAGAAAAACCAACTGCTTAAAAATGCAAACCCAGAATATAGCTAGCCAACTAATACCAGTTTAAGCTGATGTAGCAAGGTCCATTTTTAAAACTATTTATCAGTTTAATGTCAGCCCTTAAATTACTCACATAAAGCTTCTGTGAATAACTGTAATACTGTCCTGAGGTAGACTGAGTGTCATAGGCTGAGGTAAAATAAAATTGTAATGATAATAAGGAAACATTTCACCAATTCAATCACACAAGTGTTACACTGTGAAATGATGGACTGGATTTGCTCATAACAATGATAAATCATATAATCTATATTAAAATCATAAATTGTACCTACCTAATCTGAGGTTGTCTTTCCGAAGCACTAAAACTTTGTTCCATTATACCTGAAACAAATGCATAAATATTATCTCTGCCTTAAAAGAAATATACATATATATGTTAATATATTCTATTTCCCAGACACGGTGTCAAAATACTCTTAAAATGCAGTGCTAAGCAAACTCCAAGCCCTCATTTGAGTATGGAATTGCTCTTTGATGTATCAAAATTTTGCTTGCATCATAACTAAAATCTCCCCACATAGTATTTTAACAAATACTTTCAGAATTTCACAGAAACTAACAACACACTCTGGCTAGATATCCATGGAAGATGTATCTGGATTTGCATTATATTACTACAGATACTGCTACCGCTGTACAGCCACAATATTGCCTCTAGTCTGGATAAAAAGCTAGAATATTTACCCACTTTCTCATAAGATTTTTGGTGGTACGTCTAAACCTTGTTGTACCAGAATTTTATTGCCACCATTCTGTTAGTTAACTATTCAAACTACTAGAAATGCAATATCTTACTTCTTAAATAATCCTGCTGATTTTAAAACCTTGAAGACAGGAGTTTGGCCAGTTATTGGTCAAATATCTAACCAGCAACAAAAATGAACCCAAACAACTTTGTCATTTATTGCATAGTGCCAAGAAATGTAAAGAGGGTGGGGTAATCTTTGATGATATTTGTTATTCACCTCAAAAGCATTGTCTTAAAGCAACTATTTGTCTTAAGCATTTGTCTTAAAACATTCCTGTAAAACCATTCCTTTGATGATAATTGTGACATATAAGAACACTCTCTCCTACAAATGGTATCTCATTTTAAATGAATAATAAGTGTATGTTTAAATCAAAAGATATTTCAGATAACTGAAGGTCTGTGTACTAAATTAGAAAATTCTACAACAGTTTTCCCATACAAATAATGAATTTTAATGTAATACCTGCACCTTCGTCTACCTGAGATGGTTTTTTTCCACGCTACTAACATCACAAGCATCACTATAAACAAGAACAGAGGCATCTAATCACTCAAACACTAGCTAGGGAAAAAAAGATTTTATGCTAAACTTAACTTACACTAGTTTTCCCATTGTGGGTCCTGTTACAGCAGTTACATTAGTTCTAGACCAACAGGAGAGGACTTTCAGAGAGCAGACACATCTCTGAGAATCTTAAATTTCTTTTGTGTGTGTGTGTGTGTGTGTGTGTGTGTGTGTGTGTGTGTTCAAACATACTTTCTGCCATGTTCTGCAAAATTGCCCTTCTATTTTTTTCTACTTCTTTGAGATCCTGAAAAATCCTGAAGGAGGTTTGCATCTATCACACAAGATTCTCATTAAAACCAAAAGAAATGATGCATCTTTAGACCAAAACTGTCTTCCTGAAAAGAAGGCACACAGACAGAGAGAATGAAAGAAAAAGAAACAGTATTTTATTCTGTGCTAATGCTTTGCTTAGCAAAAGAGATTTTAAAACTCTGTAGCAGTTAGCCCCAGAGAAGAAGGTTTGGTAAGAGTGGTTGATTTAGAAAATAGCAAATAAACTAGGCCCTTATAGAAGCAAGGACACTTCAAATAACTTTAATACTGGAAGGCCTTTGGAAATGAAAAAATATGATTGTGCCTATTTAAGGAACAGATATTTTACCTACTTAGGATGCACAGTAATACGAATACAAAAGTAGAAGCTCTCACTGAACCTGAATAACGTTGCTTGGGGTAAGGATTTTGAGTTCCAACCTCAGACATTCTGCTATGAAAAAGACTATAAAATATTATGGGAATATATGCGAGATAATCTGAAACAGAAGCCACTTGGCCAGAAAGTCAAGTCTGAATACAGATGTTTGCTAGTATTTAAAAAACAACTTCCCTTTCCAAATATTCATATACAAACTTGGTTTTGAAATACAAATTCAATTTTGTATTGTTTCAAATAAATGGTGTCTCTGTCAGTCAAGGGGCCATATCTAAATTTTCTTGATGAGTTTGATGACTCACCACATTTGACTTGCTAATCTGCCATCTCGTAAGTGTATTTACAAGCGCATGATATTTCACACCAAAGAATCTATTTCATCATTCATGTACATGGCAGAGATGCAGTATTTTTGGATTCACACGCCTAAATTAGGAAAATACAAAGATGATTAGGGGTCTGGAGCGTCTCTCTTATGAGGAGAGATTCTGGGAGCTGGGTCTGTTTAGTCTAGAGAAGAGAAGACTGAGGGGGGATCTCATTATGGCAAATATCTCAAAGGTGGGTGCCATTAGCCTGAGGTCTCAAGAGAAATACCAATCTTAGACAAAGTCAGTTTGGGAAAAATAAGCCGACGAATCACTGTAAGATCTCCAAAATTCTTCACAGACAGCCCATTGCACAAATTATAGGTTTCTTGATGCAATAGTTATTTTCAACAAATATCCTAAGCTTTCCCCTCATAACCTAAAGAACCATTTTGTCCTGTCTTGGCCAGAATAGAGTTAATTTTCTTCCTAATAGCTATTACAGTGCTATGATTTGGATTTAGTATGGGAATAATGTTGATAATACATGGATGTTTTAGCTGTTGCTAAATAGCATTTAACCTGATCAAGGACTTTTCAGTCTTATGCTCTGCCAGTGATGAGGGGCACAAGAAGCCAGGATGAAGCAGAGACAGGACACCTGATGCAAACTACCCAAAGGGGTATTCCGTAACATAGAAGATCATGCTTAATATAAAAACTATGTGGATCTGGCCAGGAGGAATTAATTACTGCTCAGGTCAGGCGGGGTATCAGTCAGTGGGTGGTGAGCAACTATAGTGCCATCAGTTGTTTTTCTTGAGTTTTATTCCTCTCTCTCTCTCTGTTATTTCCCTTTTCATCGCTATTATTATTACTACTACTATATTTTACTTAATTTCAGTTGTCAGACTGTTCTTAACTAAACCTGTTCTTAACTTTACCTTTTTCTGGTTCTCCTCCTCAATCCACGGGGTAGGGTGAAGGTGCACTAAGCAAGTGGCTGTGCAGTACTTAGTTGCCAGCTGGAGTTAATGACATATATAGAGACAATTTTACCTCTAAGACTTCCCTCTAACACCTCTAAGTTGAGGGTTGGAACGAGTTGATCTTAAAGTTCTTTCCAACCCTAACTATTCTATGATTCTGTGTCTTACCAATCTATCTAAATGTCTAATGTAAAGAAGAAATAGCTTCTTAAATCATAAAATATGTCAAAAAATACAACTCTTCTGAATTAAAAAAAGGCTGTGTGGTCACAGAACTTGCGATATAAGGTAACTGCCTGCAATTAAGTCTAAGTTTTGAATGAAATTACCAGCTCCAGTCAGCAAGTGACATTATTGACTGGGTATTTATTTTCTACCATAGTATTATGGTAGGAAATATGTAGGAAATTTCTGTAGGAAATATTTCCTATTATTCCATAGGAAGTATTTCCTACCATAGTAGGAAGTATGTATCCTCAAATTTTGAGGAAATGTTGTTATCCTCAAAAACAGTTAAATTTCGAGCTAAATGATGACCTGAACTCAGAGCCGAATCATTGAGAGTACCCTCATTCCAGAAATCTCAGTTATTCAGCTGGATATTTTTGACTGCTTTGAGATTACACAAAACTCAAGTTCTGGCATGCATGTAAACAAGTAATTTTTCTAAAAGTTTAAAGAGATATAGGAGACCCTTCTGGAGACGCATCACTAGAATATTCTTCTGACAGGTCTCTTTCATGTGCTCTCTTTCTTACATGGTAAAGTCTTTGCAGAAATTTCTGCAAGGAAAGGAGTCCCGAATCATGACATCTTTGCTTACTGGTTAAAGGTTAGATAGAATCATAGAATAGTTAGGGTTGGAAAGGACCTTAAGATCATCTAGTTCCACCCCTCCTGCCATGGGCAGGGACACCTCCCACTAAACAACGTCATCCAAGGCTCTGTCCAGCCTGGCCTTGAATACCAGCAGGGATGGAGCATTCACAACTTCCCTGGGCAACCCATTCCAGTGTCTCACCACCCTTACAGTAAAGAACTTCCTCCTTATATCCAATCTAAACTTCCCCTGAAGTTCTGAAATTCCTCCAAATACTGGAAATGTATATTAAATTATGAATTAACAGAAACAGTGAGATACAGCACAACTACAGGACTGTGCATTGAGATTTCTTAGCCTCACGATAAGCAAGGAGCTGAGCAGTTCCAAATGGTCCAAATGTATGTTTACCTTCTTACTGTGAAGAAGGTGAGAGGGGAAGTATATAAAACCCTAGGGATAATAGCATTTTTTATACACAACCAGTCTTTCAATACATTTTGGGCATTGTCCTGAATGCAGTGTAAGTTATTCAAGGAAAGCAAAAATATTTTCCAAAAAGTATGCCCAGACACAGAATATACTTTTAAATTCTTTCACATTCAACTGACATACTGGCTTTTGCACTGTTATACATTAAAAAATACCACATATTTTCTTTCTATTTGGTTTTACCAGCAGAAATGCAGACAGTTGTAAATCAAAACCAAACATAAATCTCTTCAATTTGACAAAGCTAAAGTAAAATTGGGAGCCTTCTAAATTTTGAAATGAGAAAAAAAAAAATCAACCAATAAACTGTTACAGTCCCATCACTTTTTAAGTCAATATGTCCCTATCCTCCATCGATCTTTATAATTTCAAATTATAAGGACTTCAGGGGAAAAAAAAACCCGCATCTCTCACTACTGCCTCTACACTTCTGAAATGTGCAGAATAAGTGCCATAAACCTTAAATCCCAGAACCTACATACTCTGCATTTAGCAATCTTTAGAACTGTTAAAGAAGCTGATCTTGCAGAACTACATTGTCTAGAATAAGAACAATAATCCTTTTCTTAAAACAGAATTGAAAAACACAGGGTATGTAAAATTATTTAAAATATTATGACAATTAGTGGAATATGAAAATAGCTAACCACTATTACAGTGTCACTCGCATGCATACCAGCTTCTGCACCACTGAAGAACTCAGTGTATCGCACCTTTTCACAAAATACCATCCTCCTTTTAATTAAAGTGATCTTTTTCTACATTTGCAGATTTTCTCTGTAAGTGATGTGGTGGCAGCATAATTAGATGAACACTTTCAAGACCATGATCAATAAACCCAAAATTGAAACTCACATTTTCATGTTAGCAGTTTCCAAGTCAGCTAGATCGAAGTTAGGTCTCATTTTCCCCTGTAATGCTCACATGCTTGATAAAACCACGGCTGATAATTCAAACAGCCACATTTTAGCAATGAATGAAGCATAGCCCAAGCAATACCCAAGTAATACCCAAGTATCCTGAATATTTTTTTAAAGTCATCTTTTCTTTTTATCTGAAAAGAAGAAAAATCTCCCAGCAATAATCACAACAGATCTACAACATTTCAACATGAAGTAGAAAAGACAGGTGATCTCAGAAAGTATAACTAAAGAGTTGTTTTTCTGAAAAAGCATTCCTGAACTATCTATATAACAATTTAACTCTATGCTGGAAGGAAGATAGACAATGACTTGTAGAAATGCTGATGAAAGTTACTGGGATAAATAGGAGCTGACAGGATCTTTCCACTTAAAATATTTCATTAAATCAATGGAAACATGGTACAAAAATATTTAAATATTAGAAAAAGTTGATGTTTTGTTAATGTCCAAATCTTAACAAAAAGTAATAATAAAGAAATCATTCACAATAACACTTTGGGTGCGGCAAGTTACAAACTACACAAAGATTTCTAATGTCTGTCTACAATGTTGAACTAGCCCACAAAGAATTACATTTCTAGGAGATGCACAATATGTTATTCTTTAGTATTAACACCAAAACACAACATTGCCTCCACAGGCTGCTTTTCCTCAAGGGGGTCCTACGCAGCCCCATCCCACAGTTAGACTAGGCTTCCCTGTACCATGTAACAATCTCATGTTACTCTCTTAGCACAAGAAAGTAACAAAGAAAAGGCATTTATTTTTTAAAGAAAACTTTGATAATAAACTCAGGGCTGCACTAATGGCTAGAAATTTCAATTAAAACCAGTTATATTTGTCCAGTACCTGTGCCAAGATCTAAAGGAAATTCAGCTACCAAATAGACTACGAACAGATATAGCAATGTTGTTCTAATTTTTTTTGTAGCCTAGGTCCTTGCGACAATGACATTTGTTACTCTTCAGAAAACTGAATACATTTCCCCCTTTAAAAGTACAGTATAAATCACTCACAGATTTTCTGCCAGCACTTCATGGGATGAATAGAAAGCTCAAATTTTGCTCAGCTCTTTTACTGATCTTTTTCAGATCTCCTTTTTAGATATAAATGTATATCTATAATAAAATAAAAAATAATTTTACTTAAAATAACTGGCTTTAATTGAAATCTATAGGCATTAGTGCAGAGCAAATAAATGAATTGATAATTACAGATGGCTTAGATCTTATCTATATATGTATATATATTTATAATAAAATCCAAAATCTTTCACTTAATATAACACCAAAGACAGCTAGTGCTTTCCTATCTGATTATCATAAATAACTACAGGCAGAATTAACAATGTGTTTTGTCACATAATCCCCTCCTAATTTGAATCTGATCATTAAGCATTCCTTCAGTTCCATTCAGTCAATTCATCTAGACAGCTAAAGCTTACCTCTTTCAGTTTTCCTTTTTACAGCCTCTAATCTCACAATCCATTTATCCATATGCATAGCATTATTGTAGAGACAAAAGTTTTCATACTCTTCTGTTTCTTACCAACACTAGTTATCCTATGCTTCATATTTGAAAACACCTTCTTTGTCAAGTTGCCCAATGATATTCCAGTTTTGACAGCCATTACTGTAACTATATGGGGATAAGCTACGCAAAGACCATGCGATGCAAAATGTATTATAATCAAATGGTTGCCACAGGGGCAACCACAGTTACTTTATTTTTGTTTCCTTAGGACTGACAACAGATAGTGACTTTGTATTAAATAATGAAATATCCTAATATTTTGGAATAAACAACTTTTTTTTTGTTAGAAAGTACTGAATCCTTCATTCTTAAGGAATTTTACCAATAGCAGACTCTTTCACATGACTTGAACTGGAGCTGCTTAACTTGTTCAGTACGTCCAGCTCATCATCTAGTTTAGTGAACATATCTGGACATAAAAATGAAAGCAAAGAATCTTTTAACCCAAGTCCAACCAGGATAATAGTACTCATGATGTTCCTTTTGCTATTGACTACCTTTCTGTGAGTTCTCTGAAGTGCTGTGATCCTCTACCAGGATTTCTTCATATGTTCTTTCCTCATCTTTTGCATGTGCAGACTGACATCTTTCAACTGGGAGATCAGTGTTTTCTGAAAATTCACTTTTGCTGCAGTGAGGGGCTCCATTGCTGCTGCTATGAAGACTCAACTTCTCATAATCTTTCTGACAAAAAAGAAGGAGGAAATAATGTTGCATACTGTCTTTATCCAGCACTTATTAGGAAACCTGCAGATGAAAGTTTCACTTGTATAACTGCACTTTTTGTTCCCACTCAGCTGCTAGTCCAGGACTACAAGTTATCTGATTCAATCACCAATTCTAAATTTAAAGCAAAAGTCTTAATCTAAACAAATTCTTTCTAGCCTTTACATAAAAGGCATATTTGTTCTTGATGGCAGTTTTCTCATAACAATCACTGAAAGTGGAAAAAAAATATGAAACAAATGCCATACCAGAAAGAAATACTGAACAACAGAAAAAAATAAAAGTGTGGACAAAGATAGCAGGTTCCCAGATACAAGCAATGGGAGATTAGATAATAAACAGTAGACCAGTTCTCAAAAGTGCAAAACCTGCACAAATATCAAGATGGTAATAAAATATGAAGTGGACTTGATATGATGTGATGCCAAAAAGACCCCCCAACTCTGAACTGACCAAATGTGGACTGGCATTACCAAAGCAGAGCTAAGAAAATCGAAACATGGAAGAAAAATTGTCTTTAATATTTAAGTGTTGATTCTTATGTGTAGCATGGGTTCATTACTGAGTATAAAATTCTGCCTCTGCTGCTATTACAGCTCTGAGCTATTTACAGCTTTTCTTGAAAAAAATAGAGATTCTTCATCCTTATTATTGCTTCAGTTTTAATGCAACGTATTTTGAAGTCAGACTGTCTTTATGGTCTCTATACATATTGTTCCAAGTCTTACATTATTTCTGTTGTGCATAAATAAATTCATGTTCCTTTTTAGTCTTGTCAGAGCAAAATGCAGTAAAGGAGAACAAGAGCTAAATTACATAAATAGATTAGACAAATTAGTATGTTTAACGCTAAAGTAATTTCAGAAAATAATACATTCCTAAATACTTCTATCCTTAACAAGTGTGTCAAAGACAATTTGTCCTGTATCTAAGACAATGTACTTCCAAAGTTTTTCCTATGAAGTATTTTGACTTTACTGGGACACATTAGAAATCCTTCCTCCTTCAGAAACCTAGTTGCACCCCTGAGCGCTGACTGTATCACTGCCTGCTTAACAGTCTGCTTAAATTGTTTCCACATCTTTTGTTCTATTCCCAGAACTATAACTTAACTTGTAAGATGGTGGCTTGTTAAGCTTTTCTCTTTAAATTCAGGTGGGAAAGGATCATTTTATACTTAAGTACTGAACCAAGATTATGTTCAAGATGTGACAATACCAGTGACTGCAGTATAGCACAGCATGGCAACCACTAAGTATGACTCTCAAGCTCACTTACAGAAAGCAGTCTAGTCATGGCATGTGAGCACACTAGTTGTACCCTCAACAGTCGATGCACAATTAGTGAAGAGAACCAATTCATCTGTTCTATATCAAAGAAGATAAAGAGAGAGAAGGGTCAAACTGCATGGACATTTCATACTTAAATCCCCTTTCAACATTGCCAATACTGAACCTTGCATGAAAAAATCAATTGTTGACAACTTGTAAATCAGATGAAGCTGGGGGGGGGGGGAAGATCAAAAAGAGGATTAGATCAAAAAGACTGCTGTTACCAGTTGGTGTCAGCAGCAAGCTGCCACATGAAGAAAGGAAGCCAGTTTGAAATGCATGAACTAAATTCTGTAGACATCATGATAAAAATATTCGTCAGACCTGTTATAGAAGCTGTTCAGAGATCAGTGCAATGTACCCTACAGTCTTAAAGCAGTTATATAAACTGTAAAGCTATAACATGTCTATACATAAAATCTGGTCCTTTTACATAATATCTGAACACAAAGAACTGTGGTATTTCATTACTTCTCTGAGAGTAACAAATAAATTTACTGTGATATATTTTGCCCTACCTTGACAATAGCTAATAATTTGCAAAAGTGAGATTATATACTGTTGTTTCTCAGGACACCTGACTCATTTAGAACAAAAGTACCCTGTTTGGAGGAGACTGGGATTCAAGTTCAACGCCACTTCTGCTCAGCATTGCAGTGGGACCATAACCTACATAGGCATTTAAAACCATAACTTTGTGAGAAAAGCATGGAGAAAGTATTCTCCAACACACTGAAACAACCATTTCCATATGTCTCAAAGTCTCAGAGGGACATCTTTCAGATAAGCAGAAAGACAGATACTTATGTTTTGAAGAAATCTGTGAAACAGTGGAATGTTCAAAACATCACACACATTGAAACATGAGTTAGATTGATACATATTCATTTGAACTGTGCTCATACCTACACCTGATTCTAGAGTCCAGTATTTTACAAATCTTCCTGGAGGCTTCATCAGTTGATCCAGTTTATGTTCACATTTTCACAATAATTAGTGCCTCGGTTTCCCCATGTGTCAGGTTTTTTGCCAGCTTTGTGGAAATAAACTCTGCCTTCTAGCATTAAAAAAACACAGTTCAAAAGGAAACCTAAGGGGAAAAGGGTTCCTGTGGAAAAGATGTTCAAACTATGAACCAAGTAAAATTTTTTCCAGAATTCATCTTTCCTTATGACTGAGTAAAAGTGTCTCTGGAAATAAAGATATTGGTCTCTTGTTCAGCTCAGGTAGTTGTAAGAGACCAATAAGGTCTCCTCTGAGCCTCCTTTTTTCCAGGCTAAACCTCAGACATAGTCCTGTCTGAAAACAGGTATACTGTTTCTTTCATTATTTCCAGCCAATAAATAGTTGAACTGCTTCTGTAAGAAAGAGCCAGGCAGGCTTGTTAGCATAGGCTGTAACCAAGCTGCCTGAAAGAAATTATCAGAGTCTATCATCTAGCAGTAGCATCCTGGTCCACCAGAAACAAAATACCTTGCTGCGTACAGATCTAGGTCTGGGAAGATGACTGTTGGCCTGCAGCTAAAAGTCCTATCCAGATGGAAGATCAGTCACCTTGGGTCTATATGCCGTGCTCTTTTGCATGCTGGGTTAGGGGAAGACTTACCAGTTCAAGTGTGAAAACAGAAAAATTTGGAAAGGAATCTTGCTAATAAGCATTCTTGTGCATTTGAAGATTAGGGCAAAGCACTCAGCTAATGGTGACCTAAATGGACAAGCTCAGACCAAACTGTTAGTGAATTCTGACACCCTATTAGCCCTGACAAACACTGAACATGGAGCATTCCATAAATCACGCTACACTCAGAAACAAGAGTTATGCCCACTTTTCCATTATCTAAACGTCTTGGTCTCCCGTTACTCTGCATAATTTTGAATTTCATTTGAATGTATGCATTTAAAACTAAAATGTGTATTCTAGTGACATTATTAATAAAAATTAAAATAAGCTTAGATTTCTAAAGAACACTACTGCAAAAACTGGTATAGAGAAAGAATGTGATGAAACGTGTGCCATATGCACAGATCAGAACTTCAGAAATTGAGACAGGGAAGTTACTCTGATCAGCCATGTAGTCTATCATGTCTGTCTAATTTTAATATATTCTCAGAATAGAGGGAGGTACAAATGGCTCATATTTTGTTATATATTTTTAGCTGACAGATTCCAATTATGGAGCTTGCAGTTTTTCCTCCCATATTCAAAATATAAGACAGATCTCAATATTCATCGTACTATATTGTTTTAGGTATATTGATATTTTACATTAAAAAATAGGGCAATGAGAAAGAAGTTATTGTATCTATATGTCGAACAGTGAGGATAATGGCTTATGAAGGGCTTCTAAGCATTATTCCTAAGTTAAAACCACATCAGGATATATGCAGTAAATGAAACAATAATGGACGATGCCTGTAATCAAACACATATTTCCAAAGTAATAAAAGTGACTTGCTTTCAGCTTTTTGCAAACAGCCAAAATAATGTCTAAATTTTTCAAACTTATATACTGCAAAAAAGCAATCAAATTATTTGGCTACCCTCTCACCTCTTTAAAGGAAAAGATCAGAAAGATATTTTCATTATTAGTTAAATCAGCTGCTGTTTCGAGACCCAGATTTGGCTTGCAACACAAAAACTCAACTTTTTATGCTGTACTTGCCAGCCAAGGTAACTAACTTTCTCCAGCATTATCTACTGACCTGCCTTTCAATTGCCTACTTATCAGCTTCCATACTGGCCTTAGACTACTTATAAAACAGATTGAATTCTGGCTCCAAAAGATCTTTGTTGCTTAGTTCCATAAACCAGGACAGAGAGTACACTTTTTATTTCAGGAACATCCACAGTATGACACAACTGGGATGAAAAAGGAGGCCATAAGTACATTTAGTAGAGAGAAAACAAAGTAAATGGTAGCTGGCTTCAACAAAATACTGAACTATCTGACTGAAACACTGAATTCTCTGACACCGTGGAAAAATGACAAATTACTTGGCTGTGGAATAGCTGGGGCCTTGACTGAGATGAATTAGATTGTCCATACCTCACAAAGCTTTCATTTCAGGACCAACTGCTTGAAATTCGTCCTAGTACTTTTATTCAGAATACTTTCTTATTGTTTCTTTTTTTTTTCATTTTTATTATTTTGAAAGTCTAATTTTTCAGGAATAATTACTCTCTTTGTAGTAGTCCTCCAACTTCATAAAATTTTCCTACAGTATCAGGGACAGAGAAACAACAAAGCTCCTTCCGTTTCTAAGCCCTGTAGCACTCCTCTGAAACTCAAAAGATCCTAGACTGATTTATTCTGTTTTATTTACAGCAAGGACACATGGTAATTTTTCCCACTTCTCATTACCAAGCTATATACTCCTTCAGCTTCTACAGTGGTTTGAATCTTTGTCAGATCCAGAATCAGGTTCATTGAAGTGGAACTAGAATTACAGTATTCCTTCCTTGAGAAGATTAGCCATTATCCCCCAAAATACACATGCATTTCCTTCTCATTTTGTAGATTGATGTATTTTCCAAATATTCATGCAGAACAGAAGAATCGTAGAATAGTTTGGGTTGGAAGGGACCTTCAAAGGTCATCTAGTCAATCCCTCCTGCAATGAGCAGGGACATCTTCAACTAGACATCTTCATCTAGGCACCCAGAACCACATCCAGCCTGATCTTGAATGTATCCAAGGAATAGTGCATCCACCACCTCTATGGGTACCTATTCCAGTATTTTACCACCCTCATTGTAAAGAATTTTTTCCTCACATTCAGCCTGAATATCTCCACTTTTAGTTTAAAACCACGACCCCTCATCCTATCACAACAGGCCCTGATAAAAAGTCTCTCCCCATCTTTCTTACAGGCCCCTTTCAAGAACTAAGACACCACAATAAAGTCCCCCCAGAGTCTTCTCTTCTCCAGGCTTTCCAACTCTCTCAGCCTTTCCTCATAGGAAAGGTGTTCCATCCCTCTGATCATTTTTGTGGCCCTCCTCTGGACTCTCTCCAACAGGTCCATGTCTTCCCTGTACTGAGGACTCCAGGCGCGGTCTCACCACAGCAGCGTAGAGGGGGGGCAGAATCACATCCCCTGACTTGCTGGCCACGCTCCTCTGGATGCAGCCCAAGATACAGTTGCCCTTCTGGGCTGCAAGCCCACATTGCCAGCTCATGTCCAATCTTCCATCCACCAGTATCCCCAAGTCCTTCTCTTCAGAGCTGCTCTCAATCCCTTCATCCCCCAGCCTGTGTTGTTGAACCTCATGAGATCACATGGGCTCACTCCTTGAGCCTGCCCAAGTCCCTCTGGATGGCATCCCATCCCTTGGATGTGCCAACTGCACCACTCAGCTTCATATCATCTGAAAACTTGCTGACAGCAGTCTCAATCCCACACTAGCACTCTAACTTCAATGTAAAACTATTAGTTCTGTTATACGTTACAACTGCACGGATAGGGCAGTCTTCTCTCAAAGACAGAATAACTGCATTGAAACCCCGAATCAAGCAGCTTTCCATCCACAGTTGGTTTTTGCTTTTTTTTTTCAAATTTAATCACATCAAGAGAATGACTATATCAAGATATGAAAAAATAATGTCATACAACAATCCTCCAAATGTGTATGGCAAAAGAACTCAAAAACACATGGAAAATAATTGCTATACTGTTTTAAATTATAAATTGTAGGATATGTCAAGTTGGAAGGGACCCATAAGGATCAAGTGCAACTCTCTGCTCCTTGCCCCTTGCAGGACTATCTAAAACTGAACCATATGACTAAGAGCACGCTTCAGATGCTCCTTGAACTCTGACAGGCTTGATGACAAAACCACTTCCCTGGGGAGCCTGTTCCAGTGACCCTCTCAGTTAAGTGTCTTTTCCTAATGTGCCATCTGAACTTTCCCTGATTTAGCTGTTTCATTCCTTCATGTCCTATTGCAAGTCACTGGAGAGATCAGCACCTTCCCCTGTATAGGCAGGTGTAGACTGTCATAAGGTCACCCTTCAGCCTTGTCTTCTCCAACCTGAACAACCCAAGTGACCTCAGCCACTCCTCGTAAGTCTTGCCCCCGATACCCTGTTCTGCTTTTTTCTTTCATCTCCGTACCTCTTGCATTTCAAATGATAGTGGCTTGTTAAGGTTTTCCTGGAAGTTTTTGACATAGCTTTAATTGGAAAAAATTGCATGATATAAATAATGATCTTGAGCTGAAAGGTCAAAAAACTACTGAAAAATAAAAAAAAAAAAAATAACATTTTCTACAAGTCTTATTCTTGTCCAGGAAGGTGAAGACAAAGAACACATTAAAAAAAACCCAAATCCACAAGTTTTGAACCAGGTGTTACTGAAAACCTTTTTCCTACACAAAGGTCCTTCAGAGCAAACTCCTGAGCCCTGATGAAAGGAATTCAAGAGAGATACAATAGCCGAACAGACAACAGCAGCTGTGCAAATTTGCTTCACAATTACCATAACAATAATTTTCACAGTGAGCTTTTGCTACTCAAAAACATTGCCCATTTATTTTTTTTAGTTCATTATGTAAAATATTGATGTCCTTCATGAAGAGTGCTTAAAACACAGCCTAAAGAAAATGGAAGAATTTTAAGTAGCTCTGCAGAACTGTATCAGACAGTAAGAAAGCATTGAGCAAAAACCTTACAGCACCACTGTTCTTTATTTAGCAGTCTGTAATTAAAAATCTTATTTGTGCAATAGCTATTTTCCTAGGGGTCATCGTTTGTGAATCATACACAAGATTATCCATTTGTTCCACCCTGGCCAAGTGCATCTTCTCCTATTCACAATCCATTCACAAGTGTGCAGTAATAATTAAATGCTATGAGATACTATCAAAACTGCAAATACCCCCATAACAATGCCATTTTTCAACACGGAATTATATCGGTTTTCAAGATACTGTTATTTTTGCTTCACAAGCATGTCCACAAAAAATGAATCAATGCCTTGTCAAAATAAATCAAAGAGCCTGCATGGAAAAATGCTCTAAAAGGATGAGTCTTTTAATTTGGATCTATTTTCTGGTTTGTTGTACCTTATTTTCTCAGATATGGTAAACAATGATAAGAAAAAAAAAATCCGTGTACTTACTTGTGCTAAAATTGAAAGCTGATGGTGATATGTTACTGCATTTTGATTAGCCTCCATGAAGTACCTCTGAGTTCGTCTCCTCTCCCGATCCAGCTTCTTCTCTAACATCAGGTGAGAGATAGATAAAACATCAAGGTATTTCATCATCACATCAGACAGCAGTGAGCTAACTTCCACTATGTCTGGACGTGCCTCTGCATCCGGAGTCAAGCATCTGTGAATGAAAGAACATTCTTTAAAGAAAGCTAATTACTTCTTCCTAAAAAACTGCTTACTACCACTGCATTCCTCCACTGATATTTATCAAACCATAGTGGCTAGCACTCTGCTCAATCCTGCAGTGGACAGTTCAACACTGTGCAGCCTTGGTGTTGATACACCACAAAGTACAGCATCTGGCATCAGCTGGGACAATTGTCCTTATCACCAACCCAGACAGAACTGCTGAGAGGCTGCTGCTGTGCACTCACAGGCACACTAGGGTGTGGGTGGTGCCTCTTCCCAGGCTGGGGGGAAGAGGCCTCCTTTGTGAGGACTGTGCTCTGGTCAAGGCACTGTACCACTGGACAAAGCAGCTGTGAAGGAGATGAGTGTGCTGTCAGGAAGATTTACAGGAGAATTCATTACTACAAAGTGCTGTAGTCAAGAATGAAGGGCGGAAGGAGTGAGCTGGGGTTCTTCTTGATTCTTCCAGGCAGGGGCAAAGGTTCAAGTCAAGGTGGATGCAACTTGCAGTCCAGAGACTGGCTGCTTGGAATCCAGATCTTCTGGGTAAAGACAAGAGGACCAGAGAAACATTGTGGTGACACTGTGGTAGATTGTTTGGATGATGTAGAATCATCCAAAGAAGACAAAGTCAATGAATCCTTTGCTGGGTAGGCAGAGAAAACTTCATGCAGGCAGTTATATTCATTGGGGCTTATTAACTACCCTGATATAAAATGGCTGAGTGCAGTAACCAGGACACTTCTGGAATCTGTCAATGACAATTTCTTGGTGCAGCAGATTCAGAAGCTAGCTAACAAAGGCACTCTGCCAGACTTGTTGCTCACAAACAAGGAAGAACCAGGCAGGACAGCCTCAGCTACAGCAGCCATCAAACTGATTTGGAGTTCAAAATCCTGGGAGAAGTGAGAAAAACATTGTATGGCTATGATGGAGGACTTCAGGAGAGCAGAATTCAGCCTATTCATGGATCTTCATTGTATAATGTCACTGAAGACTGCTTTGGAAAGTAAAGGGAAAGCTTGGAAGAGCTAATCTTCCAGAATATCTCAAAGCACCAGAACAGCCCAATCCTGTGTGTAGGAAACAGGGATGATCTACACAGGAAGAATATGCAGCTATCACCTAAGAGGTGGAATTAAGAAAGCCAAAGCTCAGCTGCAGCTGAAACTAGCAATGAATGTGGAAGGCAGAAGAAAAGCCTTCTGTAATTACACTGACAAGAAAAGAAAGGCTAAGGAAAATGGGGACCCACTATGCAAGCTAGTGAAAAAGGACATGGAAAAGACTGGGATACTCAATCCCTTTTTTGCTTCCATTTCCATTAGGAAACTTTGGCCTTAAGGGTTCCCAGATCTCTGAGCCTACCTAATCACAGAGTCTGTGAGCACGAAGCATTACCACACAACGGAAAATAGTGAGAAAGCATTTAAGCCAGTTGAACATACAGAAGCCCATGGGATCACATGAGATGAGCATGAGCGTGCTGATGCAACTGGTCAGTACCACTATCTATCATGTCTGAAAGGATCAGAGGAAGGTTCATGTAGACTGGAAAAAGATTAATATCACGTGCATATCCAAGAAGAGCAAGAAGGATTATCCAGGCAGATCCTAGCCAGTCAGCTTCACCTCAGTCCCTGGGAAATAATAGAGCAAATTCCCCTGGAAGTAATTTCCAAGCACACAAAGAACAAGAAGGCGACTCAAGACAAGTCAGGATGGATTTCCCAAGCAGCAGTCCTACCTGACTAGCCTGATAAATTTTAACTACAAGTATTTGTAAGTATTTAAAATATTAAAATTCATTACAGGACCACTTAAACATAAATGTTAGTTCTATTAGCACCTATCCTCTCTATTGTTGACCTTCATCCTCCAGGTCTTTAAATAATAGAAGCCTTTTTGTCTAATAAAACACAGTATAAAAACTTTACAGTCTTGTACAGTAAAGTGCTTTTTAGAGATGGAATTCGATATCAGAGTGAGAAAGAAAAAGCATTTTTGTGTTAAGTGGAGTTTTTCTAAAATAGAAAAATCAAGGGAGCTAAATTTCAGAAGTGCATCAATTCACTCTCTATACTTTGGCTTACACATTATATTATCACCAGGAAGATGTAATCATAGCTAAGAGAAATATGTGATGAGTGGAATAAATACAGGCTCATCTTTTCCTCCATTACTGCATTATCTTCTGCTTTCTTCTCTCTGCTATCCTGCTAATAAGATTAGAAAGTACTGGGAAACGTATTTCCACCAGTCAAACACACAAAACTATCATTGTGATCATACAATGACCTATAAATAATTTATTGCAACAGGCTGTTGTTGGACACAGGATTACTACCTTGACTGTAAACTGCACTTGAAAATGACTCAAAATACTGTGGTTTTCTGAGATTTATGTGTCGGGAATTAACTACAGCACTGGTATTGTGAAACTTCAGTACCAAGTATAAAATCTTTGCTGGCTGGATAAATATGCTGACTATACTGGCATGAGTTTTCCCACTGCATGTGTGCAACTGTATCACATATTGTATTAGCAGGGTAAAGAGATACTTTCAATTTTTCTTTTAAACCAGAAGATATTTAATATTCAGAGACAAATACAGGCAGTTGCTGAAGTCAGAAAACTGACACATTACCACCAGTGGAACATACAGAACAAAACACCTTTTTGGCAGGATGTCGAATTAAAACTAGATAAGCAATTACCTCTTTATGACAAATGACACTTTTTCTGAGTACAGTCCTTCTGGTACAGGTTCATACACAGCTCCTACTATCTGCGAGATAAATAATCTACAGTTAGTTGAAGAAAAATATTCCACTGTTTATTTGAAGACCCCATAAGTATTGTCCTCTAATCAACCTGATGGGCATTACATCGTCAGCTCTAACTTGCAAAATGGCTTAGAACACATCTTCTAATGCAGATTGTAAGTTCTAATCAGGTATCCACATTAACGTACATAGTAACTGTAGAATAAAGGGCTACAATATCTGAATAAGGGGAACATTAAAACAAACACTAATTTTATGATCATATCCTAATGTGTAATGCACAATGCCATAGAAAATCCAATATTATAGCACATTGATAAATTTTACGTATCTAAAGCTCCTATCACCAAATACAATGATAAAAGTATGATAGTCCGAGACGTAATAATACATTAATATTTCCAAGCAATTTTTGCAATTAGAATTGCAAAATAGCAATTCATACAATGAGAAATGCTTGTGCTCATTCACACATCAGACCAGAGAGCCGTTTATGCATATATAATGTCAAACATAAATTCTCGCGGATCTAGTGAACACATGCAAAAATAACTGGTAGGATGATCTGCCAAATCTGAATACCTTAGTTGCCAAGGAGAGCATATTGGTGCTGTAAAATGGAGGGTTCAGAGTCGCCATCTGATAAAGGATGCATCCTGCAGCCCAGACATCAGCCTTCTCTCCATACAGTTCACTCTTTACAACTTCAGGGCTAAGTCAAAAGCAGTGCAGCACACAAGTGTTTAATTGATTCACCCAGAAGGAGGCTTATTTAAAAACAAAAAACCAAAACCACCCTACCCAATATTTAGTGGGTCACAACAACATATTTTCAGAGCACACACAATTACATTCAAGAGGATGCATTTTCTACTTTACCAAACAAATTCCTTAAGTAGAAGCACCTTTAATAGCTTTTCCACTTCTACCACAGTTGTTCCCAGAAATACTAGTGGTTTATATTTTGTTTACTTGTCTTTTCCATTCATTTCATGTTCAGAATGCCTTTGGACTTAGTGGAATCAAATAAACTGTAGCATTCAGAACTTCCTTACAATGATGTAGTCCAATAAAATGGATTAGATCCTCATGCAATTCAGGTTTGAATAGATTCCTATAAGTATAGGAATATTTATATCTATATATAAATATATAAAATTTTGAATAAGATTCCTATGAATATAAAATGTTAATATCATTTTGCTAATAATGTGAGTAAAGAAATTTTACTCATTATATCATTTGCATCCTCTTAAAACTACTTTAATGCATTCCCTGTGAGGATGTCACATGGACACTCAACAGCCAGCTGAATGATGATAAAAAAATCCATTGTAAAGATCCATTTAAAATAAATGGAAGGTAGCAGTAATTTCAGTTGTGACTCAGTACAAAGCAGACTCCACTGCGCTGACAGGGTTGTAGTTTTAGTAGGGTTTCACACAAAAGCATAATAGCTGCAAGTTAATTAAGTCATTTGGTCTGCTTATTCATGCTGAAAGACTTCTTGTTCTAAATGCCTATCTAATACTTTAAAAAAAATCTAAAGGACTTACAGCAGAGGACTACTTGATCTTGGTTTAGTCAGAAGTCTCTGACATTTAGAGGATTAGGATGACCCATACCTTAAATGAATAATGTCTCATGTTTAAGAAGTACTTTAAATTACTGAAGTAATATTTATCTAAGGTGACCATAAATGTTTTATAGAGACATGCTTTCATGGATAATTAATTCTGTAATTTAGATTTTTAAAATAGAATTAATAAATAGAATTTAAATAGAATTAAATAAAATTTTCAAATATTATTTATTTACTTTCAAGAGATTTAGTGAAATCCCTCACCATTTTCTACAGGCTTGCCTCACCATATGCTAGATAGAAGTGTGGGAGGTGTAGAGTACTTGTTGACTAGTAAAACAGTTCTGCAGTTGAGCTGCATCTTTTGGATCCACACTGTTGAGGAATGCCAAGCAGAGAAAGTACCCAGTTCTGTTCCTATTCACTGCCACCCACAAACAGGAGGGTGGTGGGAGTACATATGGTTTACCTAATTCAGTTGACAACTGTGTATAAACTGTCACTGTCTGGTCAAGACCAGAAAGAATGAGTAGAACTAGACTCTGAATTTTATTCCATTAAAAACCCTACAAAATTGGTTTCAGCCATAATTAACTGAAAATTAATTAAAGGGTTAGCATTGGTATGACATTTTTTTGGTTTCTTTGTAAAGGCAGGATTCTTCCTTTAATTCTTAGATGAAAAGATCTCGATTGTCTGAAATAGGACAATGACACTAATTAAATTTTTAGCAAACAGACGTCCACATCATGAAATGCATTGTGCCAAGATACATAAAAGGAGAAACACTCAGAGCTGATAAAAACTTTCATTTCCATTGTTCCAAGGGCTGTTTGTACTGCCATGAGGCTGCAGTATATACTCTAGAGAAACATATTCTATAATATTCACAGTCTTGAATATTAAAAGAGGAAACAGATACTTATGTAATTAGTCACTTAATTCTAATATATTCAAGATAATCACTACAGTTTTCCTCTATGTTTACAAATCACTGCTCATTTCCAAATTAGATATTCAAGTGGAAAAAGCTTACTTCAGCAGCATTATGTTAACTGTAGGAGAGTCCCTTGCTAAAAACATGTCCACAGCAAAAGCAAGACTGTATTTCTCTCATATAGAATCATAGAATAGTTAGGGTTGGAAAGGACCTTAAGATCATCAAGTTCCAACCCCCCTGCCATGGGCAGGGACACCTCACACTACACCATGTCACCCAAGGCTCTGTCCAGCCTGGCCTTGAACACTTCAGAACTTCCCTGGGCAGCCCATTCCAGTGCCTCACCACCCTTACAGTAAAGAACTTATTTGTTATATCCAATCTAAACTTCCCCTGTTGAAGCTTTAACCCATTACCCCTGTCCTGTCACTACAGTCCCTAATGAATAGTCCATGTCCAGCACCCCTATGGCCCCCCCTTCAGATACTGGAAGGCTGCTATGAGGTCTCCACGCAGCCTTCTCTTCTCCAGGCTCAACAGCCCCAACTTTCTCAGCCTGTCTTCATATGGGAGGTGCTCCAGTCCCCTGATCATTCTCATGGCCCTCCTCTGGACTTGTTCCAACAGTTCCATGTTCTTTTTATGTTGAGGACACCAGAACTGCACACAATACTCCAAGTGAGGTCTCACGAGAGCAGAGTAGTGGGGCAGGATCACCTCCTTCGACCTGCTGGTCACACTCCTTTTGATGCAGCCGTGGATACGGTTGGCTTTCTGGGCTGTGAGTGCACACTGAAGCTGGCTCATGTTCATTTTCTCATCGGCCAGAATACATTTCTCTCAAATGTGTCATGGTTTAAGCATCAATTTCCTAGAGCTTCTGAAGCTTCTAAAAATGTGTCAGTACTATCTGGCTGACTTTACATGGGACAAAATCAGTGAAGTTTTCCCATGCTGCACAGAACTTCAAGAAGCCATTCAGAGTTGTCTTGGTACAGTGTTCTCTGTTAACCCAAATGGTTCTGAGGGGTGAAAGAACAAGCTAGTATATGTCAGTGTACCAGCTTCTCCTCATACCTGCAGTAATGAGGAGTATTTCCAAATAAGACGTGATCTCAACTAGACTGTTATGGATTAATTATGAGTTTTTCTTCAAGACTATTTCCCAGAAGAGGCAATGGCTATAATGAAAGAGTGAATAAAGAAGCAGCATAGAATCATAGAATAGTTAGGGTTGGAAAGGACCTTAAGATCACCAAGTTCCAACCCCCCTGCCATGGGTACGGACACCTCGCTCTAAACCATATCACCCAAGGCCTCGTCCAACCTGGCCTTCAGCATAAACCACTACAGAAGATTTCAACAATGACAGAGTTACTGCTTTTAGTCTTTATCATTCCTCCAGTTGGTTATTTCAAGTTTGATGGAGACTCCTGCAGTTGGTAGTGGTTATACAAACACTCATGCCTAGAAACCATGTGTAGATCAGGAAGCAACCCAAGCTGAAAACAGAGGCTAGCAAAGTATCAAATATGCTTATCACATTCTTCCTTCCCTGCTACTGTTGGAGACAAGACAGTAGGGGAGATGGTAGACAAGTTTGACAAATACTAATAAACCTTTTGTTTGGTTGGTTTGGGGGTTTTCTTTTTGGTCCCAAATACTATAAGAGTCTCTGTAGCTCTTCAGATTTGTCTACCATCTCTTCTTTATCTTTGTTAAGATATCCATAAAATAATACTTGCTTCTAATAACCTTTTTAGTTGCTGGCAAAACTTATCAAAGCAATGTCAAGGAAGAGATTTACATAATCTTTGTACCTGTAACTGCCCCATTCACTATGAAAATGAGACTGCCATTCTCTGGGCCAGGATAACCAGGAATTTATACAGTAGTGTCTTGAAAACCTTCACAGAGAAAGTCTACACAACCTCTCTAGGCAGCGTTTTCTAAATCTGATTGTTATAATGATGAAAAAAACCCTGCCTTACATCAAGTTAAAATCTCTCTTGTATCAATGAATGTCCATTTTCTCAGAAAAGTGCCAAGACCACCAACTTCAGTTCAAAGAATAAAAAAATCAAGGGTATGCTTGCATTTGGGCACCATTTCTATGTTTCTGTGAACCAGGTGGCCCATTTTCATTTTATTAAAACTATTACAGGATAATTTGGGAGTGTTTGGATACCAGTATGATAATACACAGATCTACTCCATAGTCAGCTCTCTGAATCAAGGATGGAAGAGGGCGAAATAAGGGAGGGGGAAAGAGGGGATAAAATAGAAGAAGCAGCTCACCATTAGCATCATTCCAAAGGAGTAAAAAGAGTGAAAAAGAAAAAGAAACAGTTGCTGCTTGTCATAATTCTTCTCTTCTGGAGAGCTTGCCGTAAGCTATAGATACACATTCAATATTTTAGCTTCATAATTACTACTACAAGCAATGGAAGAAGAAACAGGAGCCACAAAACTGACAGTCTGAATAAAGAGCTTCTGTGAAAATTGCTGAACTATTTGCATTTCTCACCTACAAAAAAGAATTCAACACAAGCCTTTGGGGATATTCTGTCTGTCCTTTGAATGATGAATCTAGAACATGATTTTTTGATCACTAGTTAAAAATTTTGCCTTCATGGTTTTCCATTTTGAAATGTATTGCCAAGTAATTCTGTAATAAATTATTACATTGTCTTCTATGTTGCATAAATTTTTCTCATTAGAAATTATGCTAAATATTTTCGTGAAATATTTTATATGTATATATATAAAAATCATGTATATATGATTTCTTTTTTACGGAAAACACCTTTCAGGCATCCTAAACCTCTGCTGACACAGAGTAAAATTAATCATTCCCCATTTTTTAAAATATATGAGGGTAGGGAAGACATTTACTACATTCAGTTTACAATCTTTTGGTGAAATAAATCCTCTTGCCAGCGGATGGGAATGTAATTTTAAAATGGGTGAAGACAGCTAGAAGAGGCAACTTTCATGTGTATAATTGCTTTCTCATCAGTGAAATCTCAACATTTTCATTTTCTAGTCCAAGCATTGCCTGTCTTTGCCCAGGAAGTTCCCCTGCGTTCATATGGTTGGCTTTCTGGGCTGCAAGCGCACACTGAAGCCGGCTCATGTTCATTTTCTCATTAACCAGCATCCCCAAGTCCTTCTCCTCAGGACTGCTCTG